CGCAAGCTTTCCCGGCTAAACTCATATTGCGAGGGCTTAAACGGAGCAGTGCTCGTAATGTCGAGCGAAAAAAAGAGAGAAAAAGACAGCAGTGAAACATAACCAGCTTTGTCTATTTGTAGGAAACACACTTTAGATGTTTTTAGGGTAAGAAGTTTTTGAGTTATTGCCGTCTGTAACTGAATGTTTCAGGAATATCGAAAACAAAACCAACTGAACCGCGCTTAATTCTGGCGCTCCCCTGGATGTACAGCGCCCTTAGCTTTTGCCTATACTGCCTATTCCACGGGCCGGCCCTGAGTTGGCTCCTGAGTGTTGTAAATACCCGCGCTCACCTCCCTCGCAACAGAGCGCATAGAAGATAAATGACATCAGTACATAATAACCGTTATGATTATTACTAAACCGATACTGAATTATCCGCGTCTGCATCATGGTGCACAGAATAAACAATTAATTTTGACACCCCTAACCTGAGGTGATCCGTTTATCCTGCTGTTCATAATAAAAGTCATTTCTAAAATAGAAATTTCAGGTGTTGGTTAGGACAAAAACTCTTTTTAATATGATAAATATTCCTTTTTATCGAGTGCTGTTGTTTTAAGTTAGAAAACGGTTAAAATCTGCCGTAAATTAGCCCTTAGGCTCGATAGTCAGGCACACTCATGTCAATCTGGCAACCTGCGCTTGCATGGACTCGTCAGAGGCGGCGGGGAGTGAAAATGTGTTTTGATCCAGAAATGCAATACCTAGTTCAACCACTGGGGGTCAAACTTACATACAGCACCTTTAATTATTACATTTACGCACTTGAATACTCAAATCCCCCAGACATCAACATAGAACTGTTGATTTCATTTATGTATTTGCCTTATTATTTTCTATCTAGTAATTGATTAGATTTTATGTAGATGGCTGCACTCCAAAATCATAATTCATTTCCATTTAAAGATTATGAGAAAAAAATGTAATCAAATTTTATTCATGCAATACATAATCGCAGAACAATTCAGCATCGCAATGTCAGATTTTTACAAAACTCAAACTGATAAGAAAGTCAACAATTGAGCACAGGCCCATTTCAAAGGACGTGCATTGTAAAGCAGAGTCATGTTGCTTTCCCAAACAGTTGCTTTATTTGAACACCCTCATGCGAACATCTTTCTTCTCTTTCATCTTATGCAAACACACACACACACAAACACACACACACTACAGAAACCAAGCAGAGCACAATACGGGTTGATTCCCAGTCTCACGCTCACTGAGCTAGTTAACCTGCCTTTCAACAGGATGAAAGTTCCCAGAGACGTGTTCAGCGAGGCGCACGGCGGCAAACAGAGGCTTCAGTGTGAGACCGGCTCAACATACACATCTGAACGCATGGATCAACACTGCTGGTCCAGGGCATCATGGGAAGTGTGCTCGTAAAAATCACTGAACTGACTTACTGCTTTCATTATGTGGCTTAAGTACTAGTGTATGCACAGGCACACAATACTGAAAATCAGTAATAAAGTGGAGCTAATATGCGAAAAAAAACTTTAATATATAAGAATGAGTGAATACAGTCAGCACCTAATGGTTAAACGAGTATTAATTGTATGTTTTTATAATCACAAATGGTCAAAACAGTCTGCAGAAACACTTTGATTGACATTCTCCCTTTGTATGTGTCATTAAAGGGGACAAGCCCCACCCACTAGTGATCATCTCTACCTAATTAGCATAGAATGTCAGTCTTGTTTTTGAATCTGCCACTATGCTGGCACACAGGCATTTGTAGCTCTGCCCAATTTTGAAAAAGAGCACATCTCATTTGCATTTAATACTCATTTGTACTCGCACTATGTAGAGTTGCCTTGAACCAGGCCAAAGATCTGAATTGAATGAGTTGAATTGGCTGTAGTGTATGAGTGTTTGTGTGTGAATGAGTGTGTATGGGTGTTTTCCTGTACTGGGTAGCAGCTGGAAGGCAATCCACTGCGTAAAACATATGCTGGATAAGTTGGCGGTTCATTCCACTGTGGCAACCCCTGATAAATAAAGAGACTAAGCCGAAGGAAAATGAATAAATGAATTTACTAAAAGTCATTTTAGAGTTCCTGCTAAAATATTTAGACAAGTGCTGTTACTTTACCATGTTTTTTGCTCCTCATGACCTGATAGAAACCACTCAATACCATCTTCACCACCCAAATGTTTTAGTCAAGAAAACTGATGCTATTACTGGATTATTTCATTATGTCAATAAAACAAATATATTTGTAAGTTTTATTCTGTAAATAACTTACATCAAAGTTTTCAGACAGTTTATTTTCAGTTTTATTTTCATTTACTCACTTGTTTCAAACCTGTTTGAGTTTCTGTTGAACACAGAGGAAGATATTCGGAAGAATGTGGGAAAAAACAGCCATTGTTTTCATAGTATTTTCAGTTCCTACATTGTTCTGAATATCTGCTTTTGTGTTGATTAATTTTCCTTCAGCTTAGTCTCTATTTCGGATGAACCACCAACTATTCCAGCACATGTTTTACACAGCGGACGCCCTTCCAGTCACAACAGAGTACTGGGAAACACCCACACGCACTCATTCACTGTGGTCAATTCAGTTCATCCAATTCACCTATGGGCGAAGCAAGAAGGTCACTGGGTCGCTGGTTCGATCCTCTGCTCAGTTGGCGTTTCTGTGTGGAGTTTGCATGTTCTCCCTGCATTCGCGTGGGTTTCCCCCGGGTGCTCAGTTTCCACCACAATCCAAACACATGCGGTACAGGTGAAATGGGTTGGCTAAATTGTCCGTAGTGTATGAGTGTGTGTGTGAATGAGTGTTTGTGGATGTTTCCCAGAGATGGGTTGCGGCTGGAAGGGCATCCGCTGCGTAAAAACTTGTTGGATAAGTTGGCGGTTCATTCCGCTGTGGCGAACCCGGATTAATAAAGGGACTAAGCCGACAAGAAGATTAATTAATTCATTCCCCTGTACCGCATGTGTTTAGACTGTGGGGGAACACCCGGAGCACCCGGAAGAAACCAACAGCAATACGGGGAGAACATGCAAACTCCAAACAGAAATGCCAACTGACCCAGCTGGAACTCGAACCAGTGTCCTTCTTGTTGTGAGGCCACAGTGCTAACCACAGAGCCACCGTGCCGCATTTAACAGATTAAAAATCATGTAAATGTAGAATAATTCATGTTAATTTTTAGATGAACTCTCTAATGTTAATAAAATCACGTTGGTACATGCAAATACCACAATTAGACATGTTAAACCCGTATAATAACACCTGTGTAAACTAAAATAGATGAAATGTCCTAAAAACTTCTCCCTCTATATAAAGCAGACGACAGCAGTGTCATATTTTCACAGTAATATCAGCAAATCTGGCCACGAATGTCTATAATATTGGCATGAAATCACATTTCCCAAAATCATTTAGGCAGAAATCGTGATTACCAAGGTCAATTTGCTAAAAGACTTGCAAAATCCGTGCTGAGGCGTATGCTTACAGTAGACCAGCGGATGTAGGTTAGTCGAGTAAATCCCTGAGGTTCAGATGTTAGTAGGTTAAGCTGCATTGACTGTGTGTATGTGTGTGTGCGTGTGTGTGTGTTAGCCGAATCAAGAATTCATGTGACAGGGAAAGTCCATAACACCCAGACGACTACCTGCACACTCTTAAAATGCATGGCTGCAGCAATTATGAAGTGAAGGTGAAAAATTCATGCAGGAAGAGATGAATATTAATGCTTCAGTCACTCGGTTCTGGGATATTAGATTAGATTGGATTCAGCTTTATTGTCATTACACATGTACAATGCAATGAAATGCAGTTTAGGTCTAACCAGGAGTGCAATAAAAGCAAGTGCAGCATACAGATATATAAAATATTGAGGTAAAGTTGGTTTTAAATTTGCACATTCGTTCATTTAACTGTCTCTATATAGTTTACCATGCTAATTTGAATATTCGGTCAGAATTTGCAAGCAAGTATGACTTAAAAACAACATTAGCACTATCTAATAGACTGTAAACACTGCTGAACTTTGATAATCACTGGCTGCAAATATGATTTTGTTATTCAGAATTGGCAAAGAATACTTTTCTGAAATTATATTATTAAGGAGAATGTCTGAATCTCAGAATATGAGACCAACTTTACCTCTATATATAAAATAAAGTACAGTTATAGAAAAATGATGGTGATATATACAGATAGACGTACTTTAAACATTATATACAGGTTGTATTAGCTATGAACAGAGATTTACAATAGATGAATATATGTGCAGGGTGCTATTAATAATCAGAAGTGTGCACATATATATATATATATATATATATATATATATATATATATATATATATATATATATATATATATATATATATATATATATATATATATATATATATATATATATATATATATATATACACACACATGTATATACATATATTACAAATGTATATACAGTGGGTATGTACAATTCAAGATGAATGTTCAATGTAGTATGATCAATTCAGAATTATTATACACTTCTGTAGGGTTATGAAATCCAATGTGACCTTTTTCTGTGACTATATAGTGTATTGCTATGTAATAACTCCCAAATACAAGTCTAAAAACGTGGTTTTACTATATTACACAAAACTACTATGTTGTTGGTCATGAGCCAGAGCATTCCTTGGAGAGCCATTTAAATAAACTCCAGGCGTTATTCAATGATAGTCTTACAGCACTTTCAGTGTGATCGACGAAACGTGGTTTTACCATAGTATCTGTGGAGTTATGCAGAAAGCGCTACAGTGATGATGCGCTACCGCAATAATGTTTGATGTTCAGAAGATCTGACGCGTGGCAGCGGCGGCGGCTCGATTGATTAAACCCTGCAACCATGGAAACCGCTGCAATGTATCAACTGGTCGAGTGATCTGCGCGAAGATTAATAACTCCCATTAGCACCACAGTCAATAAAATGAAGCCGAAGCTTACCTTTAAAAGCTGAATGAGCACTCGCTGTGAGCTGATATGTCCGCGAGGGTGTCTTTAAATGATATTCCGCTGGAAAAAAACGCGCGGCGCGGCGGCTGAAGTGGCGTGAAACGGGTTTTTCGGCGCTTATTCGCGGATAGCGCGGAAAGCCACCGTCTTCCCGGACGCCATGACTGTAGGACTGATCCCGAACTGATTTCATACAATAAAACACCGCCTCCAGCCTCCAACACCCGCACTACAGGGAGAAAGAGAAAAACCGCGAGGAAAACAGCGACCCCTGGCGGAGGAGCACTGCCACCATGACAAAATACTGTAGTCATTTTTAGTAAAATACTATTTTTTAAACCATACTATAGTAAAGCGAATTATTGTATTGACAACTATTTGTTCATGAATGATTTAGCATACTCTAGTATTAGCCTTTGTTGTTGTTATGTCGTTTTCATCCACTCTGAGGTGATTTTGAGGCTTAATTTGGCCACACATTTTTCTTGGTTTCAGCATATGGAATGATTATTGGTGACAAATCTTATTTTGACAGGTATTTTTGACAGAAAATGCTTTGAAATTTGTCAAAAATTCAACAATACAGCAAATGTACTACACTTTAATGCTACATCCGTAGCAGTCTTTGCCCCATTGACTTCCATTATAATGACTTCTTTGATTGCAAAGACCTGACACTATATAATCATGCTTTCCTTATTGTTGCAGAAATGGAGACTCATCAGAGCAGGCAACGTTTCTCCAATCTTCTATTGTCCAGTTTTGGTGAGCCTGTGTGAATTGTAGCCTCAGTTTCCTGTTCTTAGCTGACAGGCGCGGCACCCGGTGTGGTCTTCTGCTGCTGTAGCCCATCCGCCTCAAGGTTGGACGTGTTGTGTGTTCAGAGATGCTCTTCTGCAGAGCTCGGTTGTAACGAGTGCTTATTTGAGTTACTGTTGCCTTTCTATCAGCTGGAACCAGTCTGGCCATTCTCCTCTGGCATCAACAAGGCATTTGCACCAACAGAACTGTCACCCACTGGATATTTTCTTCTTTCAGACGTTTCTCTGTAAACCCTAGAGATGGTTGGGCGTGAAAATTCCAGTAGATCTGCAGTTTCTGAAATACTCAGAGCAGCCCGTCTGGCACCAACAGCCAGGCCATGTTTAAAGTCACATAAATCACCTTTCTTCCCCATTCTGATGCTTGGTTTGAACTGCAGCAGATCGTCTTGACCATGCCTACATGCTTAAATGCATTGAGTTGCTGCCATGTGATTGGCTGATTAGAAATTTGCATTAATATGCAGTTGGACTTTAATTAGCCGGTGAGTACCTCTTGCCACTGTATTTAACTACTATAAAACAAACTATTTCTCGTAAAAAGTTAATCAGATGTAAAATTTATTTGGTATATAGAATAGAACTTTCCAAACAAATAATGAATATTATGTAAACAATTTTTAGCATTTAAAGCATTACGATTGACAGGTTTAGTAGTTATAAGTGATGCCAGAAAAGAATAAATTGTTAAAGACTACATTTTTATTGTTCCCCCTACTTTCACCAACATCAAATGCATATATTAATACACTGGTAAACCCAACAGTCAGCGTTATGAAATGAAGAGTGTAGCGAAGTTAAGCGAACTCAAAATTGACTGAAAGTTAATTTAGTAACGCTTTACAATAAGGTTCATTAGTTAATGCATTTATTAACATGAACTAATCATGAACAACACATGTACAGCATTTATTAATCATAATTGAACATTTACTAATGCATTAATAACATCCAAGTCCATGCTTGTTAACATTAGTTAATGCACCATGAGTTAACATGAACTAACAATAACTACTGTATTTTCATTAACTATTGTTAACTAACATGAACAAATACAGTAGAAAATGTATTGTTCATTGTTTGTTCATGTTAAGAAATTCATTAACTAATAAACCTTATTGTAAAGTGTGACCATTAATTCTACTCATTTAAAAAGAGTTATAAACTTAGTGTTGAGGGTAATAGGTTCATTAAATACCTCATTACTTTAACTTAAATGGAGCAAGTTGACAGTAATCATAGATTAGTTTAACTCAAATGGTTTGTAGCCATCAGTTTCCCTTAAATGGTTTGAGTTGCCTTAACTCATTGGGTTTTACGGTACTCGGTTGGTTTGAGTTCTCTTCATCTATTGGGTTTAACTGTGCTCAAACTGCTTTAACTCAAATGGATTGAGTTCACAGCACTCATTAGGATTAGATTTTGAACAAATGGTTTGAGTTGTCTTAACTTGCTTGGTTTTACAATACTCCGTTGGTTTGAGTTCTCTTCATCTATTGGGTTTTACTGTGCTCAAACTGCTTTAACTCAAATGGATTAAGTTCACAGTACTCAATAGGATTAGTGTTTGAACTTAGTTTGTTGAAATCAGTTTCCTCAAGTGGTGTGAGTTACCTTAAACATACTGGGTTTTACAGTGTAGAACAGCAGTGATCGTTTTGACATGCACGATTATCCACTATGGAGCTATAAGAAACCCAATCTAAACTGAACCAAACCGGACTGACGCCGACAGCAATGAAACAGACACAAGGTTCATCATGTCTTGCAGCTTTAATACTGAAAGTGTTGTAAAATGATTAACCAGGATAGATTGCATATCATACAAATGTTCGATGGACACGTGACAAACCGTCAGCCAAACCAAACGGCTTCAGACTTGCGCATTTCCTTCATATGAGAAGCCCTGAACCCAGAGTCGCTGTTTTATTCATGTTTGTGTATTTCTTTGCATGGATTAAGAGAGCCAATGACAGACACTGTTAGGACATCATCATCATCAGCGGAGGAGCAAACGATGCCCGATTCTCCCAAACATCAGCACCAGCCATCAGGACCGGTGCCGAAGAGAAAACAAAAAGCCGAAAGAACAAAACAAAAACAAACTAAAGTCGACCGCAGCATCATCGCTCTGCTGCAGTAGAGCTCAACCAACACCAGTCCATTCAGTCCGATCCGGGGGAGAGGACAGCCGGATACAGCCCTAAATCAGCTTGGGCTTGGGTCGACACACACACACACGCTCGCACACACACAGAGTTGTGACAAAACAACTATAACTGATCTCGTTAGGGAGAAAAGCACAATTTCTACACCAGAAATTCTGAAGATCTACAATGGATGATGGTTAAGATTCATTTCATACCCCTAAACCCCCCCCCCCACGTCCACTCAAGATGAGGCTTCTCGGCCCTTTTTATTTTCAGGATACACACACGCGCACGCAAATGCATTCCTCGATGTTAAAGACGTGGAGATCTCAGGTCCAGCGGCTCAGAGTCACATGACGGTTCTTTGCTCAAAACAGGGAAAGGGCCAAAAGTCTAGATGTGGGGATCGAGGTGCAGAGTTTGTTTAATCCTCATAGATGGGCTGTTTGTTTATCAGGGTTAAGGCTTCGCTCGATTCTCAGGCCGTGTTCAGGAGATCCTGGATGGCCTTCTGCTGCGTCTCGTTCAGCGCTGACACACACTGCGTCCACAGGCCTCCAGAAACCTGCAAACACACAACGGAAATACACACTTGAGTGCAAATTCAGCTTGAGTTTACATAGTGGCAACTGGTGAACCTTTCAAAACAAATGCTGTATGGAAATTAAATTATCAGCTGTCCTTTAAAATTAATCTAAATATTTCCTAAGTGGTGTGTAGAAGAGCAGGGATTTCCTATTATGCTTTTCTTTCAGTTCGATTTATTAAAATGAATAGTGTAAAAAGGTTAATAACAGATTTTTATTATTTGTTTTTTTTTTTAAATTAGGATTTTTTTGTGATATGGATGGATAAACCACATTAAAAAAAAAAAATAATAAAAACTTTAGATTTATTTATGTGGTCTGTAACCATCCATCCCACACAATATGAATAAATAAAAAATAAATAAATATGAATAAAAAATAAATAAATAAACAAAAAAATTATATTAAAAGTTTGAGGTGTATATACATCTATCGCACAAAAAAATTAAAAAATAAAAAAATATTTAAAAAATAAACAAAATTAGAATCTATTTTATGTGGTCTTTATCCATATCACACAAAAAGTAATAAATAAAAAAAAATTATCAAAAATTAAAAATAAATAAATTCTGAAAAAAAAAAAGTTTGTGGTTTATATCCACCCATCCCATAAAAAAATAAATAAATCAAACAAACAAATAAAATCTAGTTTACGTAGTCTATATTCATCCATCCCACAAAAAATAAGTAAATAAAAAAAAGTTATAAAAATAAACTAAATCAAATAAATAAAACTAACAAAATTCTTATAAGTGTGTGGTCTATATCCAAGCAAAAAATAAATAAAATAAATACAATAAAAAAAATAAAATAAATTTAAAAAAAAAACCTAAAGTTTGTGGTCTATATGAATCCCACAAAAATAAATATATAAAAGTAAAAAATAAACAAAAATAATTAACAATAAAAAACACTATAAATGACATGCCCAGAAATGTTCTTTCATATGTGTTCATATTTCTTAAATTTAAAACATCAAGGCAAATATTCAATTAAAACGTAGAATTTAAATTATAAATTAATTACAACTAAATAACCCCTGAAACTAATAACAATTTCAACTTTTTTTTAAATCTCTAAAAAAGCAAAAATGTCAACATGTTTAAAGAGTTTTAACTCACAACGCTGTTATTCAGGTTTCTGTCTGTAGTTTGACACCACCATATAAATGATTAAGTATAATATATAACCGATTTGTTCGCCTCAACACTCCACAACACGCATGTTCATATAATGGCTGAATTACAATAGGAAAAAAAGAAAGCCCACAGATTTGTGGTCTTGTGGCAGTATTTAGAGCGATCACATCCTGAGCAAATGGTGAGCATCTGTAGAATGGGGACGCGTGAGAAATGCTATGTTAATGAAGTTGACACCCCATTGTCTGAGATAATCTTCAGAGCACAGCTGAGAAAGCAGGAGCAACTTTATTTACATTAAGAGTAAACAAACAGTAGAAGACGCTTGAGCTCAGGATGACCAGGAGTTCATTCACACTCCACTGAATTACTCCTGTATCTACAGTCACTGCTACACTAACAACAGACATCCTCATTTCATCTTGCTGTAAACGCATGCATGGTTTAAAACTGAAACTGTATGCTTAATTTAAATATTCATAATTTATGCAAACAGTATGGATAGATAGTATGTAAATACAAAATAATATGCGATTTTGCATAGCTTATATTAATTAATACACGACAACCAAATGAAACTCACTTGTACTTGGCGAATGACGTTGGCCAGTCGTTTGCTGCATCCGTCTTCACCTTTAACTGATTCATTCGCAACACCGTCAGCAATAATGGCGAAAATCTTGGGAAGGTTTGTATTATCGGGTCCCAGGACGATAGGATTGTTACTGCAGGAGGAAACAAAAGACATTAAAACACAAACTGCACACTTAAAGTACACACAGAAACCCTAACCATATTGATTTTGTTAGCTTACATAGCTAGTTGTGCTCAACAATTCACCTTTGCATATCATTAAGAACAGAAAATTCTCAGATTAAGTCTGTCTGAGGTATTGGGTGTGGCTAACACTTAACCACACCCCTGCAGCTGTCACTATGACGAACAGAAAGGGTGAGGAGGAGGAGTCTGTTAGATTGTAATAACTCCCCAATCCTTTTTCCATTTCCATTTTGAATGAAATGCCTACTTTACTACAGCCAATCAGCTTGCAGAAGAAAAGTCAAGCCACACCCACTGTTTGCTCAACTACTATTCAGTTTCTATAGGAACTGCATCACAATATAGGGAGAGGGGTTGTCAAAGCTTCCAGTTCATGTGGACTATAAACTGTTGCCTGAATTGTGTGAGCCCCAGATGTAAGTTTTTAAACGCATTTTGTTGTCCTCTTGTAACGTTTAAACAAATAAAACAAATGCGCACCTTTCGATGAGGTCACAGAGATAATTAAAGGTGTGAACTGCTTCCTCTTTGTCCTCGTTGAGTGGCAGCCAGGAGAGCCAGTGAGGGAGGATTTCGGTGACGTTCACACACTCGGGCCGGTACTTCATGACTTTGGCCACAGCAGAGATGCAGTTCTCAGTAGCGTTCACGTTTTCTTTGGCTCGGGAGTCTGCAGACTGGATCACACCTACGAGGAGCGGGACGGCCTCTGCGGGAACACAAATATAGATTGAATTAAAATTCATAGAGAGTTGTATTACATTCAAAACTCAACTGGAGAGGAACTATGATTTACCATTCAATCAGTTTTCCTGATCATCTGATCATTACAGACTTTAATTTGGCATTTTGATCATTCATTTATGTTAATTTAATTTAAATAAAAAATTTGGGTATACAATAGTAAAAATAAAAAATCTAAAGTATTCCCAAATGAATCATATTACAATAAGAAATAACTAATTAAGGGAATCAGATAACGGATTAAAGTAGCTTAAACACCCAGCAAAAACAGCCCGATCATCAAAACAAATAGCATGTTGTGAACTTAATTACACATGCTCTGACTTAACTAAACCGCTTTAATTTTATTAAGAAAAACATGAGATTTGTAGGCTTGCTTTTTGATTACCACAAAAAAATAAACACATTAAAATTAAATGAAAAAATAATTATAATAATTAAATAAAAACATATAAAAAATTATAAATAATACATCGACATCTCTATAAATTTTTGCATAAATATTATGAAATTTAACTACACATGCCCTTTGACTTCATAAAATTAAAACTAAGAATAACATTTGAGATGCCACGAAACAATTATACAAGTTTAAATTACTTCAGTAAACTAGGCTTCCTTTAAAAAAGAAATTTAAAATAATAATAACAAAAACAAACAAATAAAAATACAAATAAATTATAAATGCATCAATTTAATTATAGTTAATAAATAAATAAAAAGTAAAAAAAATAATAATAAAAACATATTTAAAAACAAAAACATTGTTAAACCGAAACAATTAAGTCAGTCTAAATTACTTCAGTAAACTAGGCTTTTTTGTGATTACTGCAAAAAAAAAAAAAAAAAATTAACAAAAATAAACAAAAAATACAAATAAATTCTAAATGCATTAAATTAAATAGAGTAAAAAAATAATAAATTAAATAAATAGTTAAAAAAATAATAATAATAAAAATAATTTGTTAAACCGAAACGTTTAAACCAGTTTAAATGATTTCAGTAAACTAGGCTTCCTTTGTGATAACTACAAAAAAAATAAATATAATACAGATACACATGTTGCTCGGTTGCAAGACCTGTCAACCATCTAGCCCTGGCATCAACATCTCGTTAATGTTTAAAGTCAGCTTAAATTTTACCATGTTAATTTTTGCTAGCTCACATTGTTCATGCAAGTTACTGAAAAAAGTATGTTGAATTTAATATAGTAATATGTTAGCAAAATGTAAATGAAATTCCAACCGGAGGAAAAAAAAAAAAAAAAAAAAAAAGAAAAGCAAGGATGTCCCACCAGTAAAGGCAGGCCTGTAGTTTTCTCCTCCAAACTGAGCCATGACCCCGACACCGTACGCAGCAGCCTGCCGGACCTCCGGGCTGGTGTCACACAACGACTGCATCATGGGCCGCAGGAAGTACTCAGCGTATTTAAAAGAAGAAGGACTGCAGTGTTCGACGACATCATCAAATATGCACAGACCCCACTGTCTGTCAGCCCAGGGTCTGTGTGGACACTGACACAAACAACACCAGGAGAACGAGTTTAGAAAATGTAGAAGACACAGATCTGACTGAAACTACAGAATACAGTGATTCTCCTCTCTCAAGTTCAAGTTGCTTTATTGGCATGACATTAAGTACAGTATTGCCAAAGCACTTCAAATATGAAATATTAAAACCATAGAAAAATTCATAATAATAATACAGATAAGATAATGACAAAAAAACAATACATTTCATAAACATAATAATAATAATAATAAGTTGAAATTATTTAAATAAGATACATGAGTTTACATTAACCATTTCTTATGGTGTGTAGTAGGGCTGCACGATATTGGAAAAAATTGACATTGCGATATTTTTTTCCCCTGCGATATATATTGCGATATTATATATATATATATATATATATATATATATATATATATATATATATATATATATATATATATATATATACTTAAAACTAGGGCTGTGACGGTCACCATGACAACCGCGTCACGGCCGTAGTACGTGACGTCACGCACTTTAAAACACAAATTACTGTTATGTTGCCAAGTATTACATATCTGTTAGAATATAACATTAGGCGCGATTCAGCAAGTTCAAGTTCAACCATGAATCTTGTTAGAAAACGAACTCTTACATCTGGGAACATTTTGGATATGTGCCGACTGAGAAAGGTGAACGAATCAATTTGGATTAAGCTTTTTGTATGGGGGTTTTAAGTAAAGTGTGTTTTAATATTCACTGCTGAGAGTCCAAACACTGAGGAGCAAATCCATCGATACGCAGATCCACGGGTCCCGAACCATGCAAGATAGTGGCGATTGACGGCGAGGGAAAAAAGCCATGTAGGCTTAATCAACTCCTGTCTTCTAAACGCAGAAGCCCAGCTCAGCCAGGCATGGCAGAGGCATTTGCAAAAATGGCCAGATACAAAAGAGAAAGTGATAAATGGAAGACATTGACGAGAAATGGAGCAACATATTTGGTAACTACTTAAGAACGCGCCGCTCCGCAGCGTAGAGAAACCTGCGTCGCGAGAAATGCGGGCGGCGGAACAGAAGGAGAAGCCCTCTCTCGCATGGTTGTGAAAAAGTACCCTGTCTGTGCATTTTCGCTACAAGCACACCGTCTGACAGTGTATTGCTGGAAACATTATAACCCCATTCTTCACTTAAACCGGACAAAGTCAACATGTTAGTTTTTCTGGCAAATAATTTAAAATATGACTACAAAAGGTGGAGAGAAACTACGCTGTTTTTTTTAACATCTGACTTATATTGTTACTAGGTTAATATTTTCTTTGTACTTATAATTATTAATATTTATATTATTATTACACTTATTAGTAAAGTGCCATTTAGACTATTTGTTAAGTTCTTAAAAATGTAACGTTTAATTGTTATTATTATACGGTTTCAAGCAGTTAAAGTAATTTAATATTTAACTACAATATTTATAAACAGTTTTGTGTTGTTTTATTAACAAAAGTTCAAAAATAAACATGTAGCCTACTTTTATACGGATATTTTATTTATTAATATTTAAGTTATTCCGTAATTTTTACATAAAAGGTCAATTAACTTAAGAAGGCTACATTTGTTGATGTACGAGGTCATGGAACATGTTTGCCAGTAAATAATGTTCGCACCACAAAAAAAATAAATAAATGATTAACTAGCGAAAAGGATGCAATAAAAAATGCCAGCGCTTGATATTTCTTCACAATCGGATTCGTACGTGCAATAAGCCGAGACTATATTGCGCCGACAAGAACAAGCCCGAAAACTAAATCTAGAGAGAGAATTAATACTAGTTAATATTAATGATTATAAACACGAACTGCGTTGTATGATAAACCCATCACAATGATGTCGTGATCTTTGCTGAAGAACTGATATGTTATTGCCGTCTCCCCAGCCAGGTTTTCATCTGCTTTTTTTTCCCCCTTCTTCTGGATACAAACAATAAAGTATCAGCGCCAGACCAGTGGTTTAAATTATATTTTCCTTTCCTGATTTCTTTTCTTTTCATTAAAAAATAAATAAATGTTTAAAGTTTTGTATTGCATACCCTATATATTTTTTAAAGATTATCATTCAGCTTACCTGCAGCGCATGAGGTTGTGTGCTGGGCAAATCCCCTTTACTCATGCTACCCATTTCATTTATGACACTGTAAACTTGACTTGGTAGGCTGATCATCTTTAAACTCAAAAGACTGCTTTTGCATAATGTGATGTTTCTTATTACAACTGTTAGCGGTGTTAAAATGAAAGCAAACATTAAAAAGGGTTTTGTTTTATCAATTGTATAGTTTAGTTTTAATAATAGCTAATTTATATAATAAATTATAATATTGATTATTGTGTAGACTACAGTGTCCAACAAAACAATTTTATTAGGTTACTCTAATAGACCAAATCCCTAACTGAAAAACGAATGTGAAAATGACAGGCAGTTGCGTCTTTGCTAAAATTAATTTAACGACAAATTTCTTTTGCTTTTTTCCCCTTTAGAGATCAAAAGAGCTGTATTTAAAGAATTGTTTAACGAAAACATGAATTGAATGCCCAGTTCTTTTCCGTGTGAGTTTAGTGCGCCTCTGCCGCGTCTGCGTTTTTAAGGTTACAGGTGCACCCTGACCTGACGCGGGGACCAGATCTCTGTATTGCTTTAATTTCTCAATTTTCATAACTGCATTGCATTTTCATATGGTAAAATATCAAAATGTATGTTCTGAAAGTAGTAGGAATGACGGGAGTGTTAGTAATTACTAACAGAAAGAACTTTCACTTTTGAGTGAACTGTCACGTGTTATTTTAGTATGATAAAATAAACAAAAATAGTAATGCAGAAAAGTATTTTTCGCTCTGCCAAGCCTTCTCTGTTGCTGTATAGAGAAGCAGCTTGCTCAGTCTCCTTACCCCGGCCCCACCCCGCCCACCGACTCCTGAACGTCTCACTCACTCACTCACTCACGCGGGCATGCACTGCGGTCTCATGAGGAAACGCAGCTTTTTGATATAATGTTTTTCTTGTTCCCAAATACAAATAATTTATCAAGTATTGTTTGAAATAAGTATTCGTAAAAACACGCTATTCGTGCTTTTCCGAATACCGTATTCCGGTTCGGCTTCACCCATAATATATATATAGATTTTTTTTTTTTTTTTTTTTGCTTTGCATCGCACCCTCCTGCGATGTGACTATCGCGGATGCGCACATCGCGATTTCGATGCTAAAACGATATATCGTGCAGCCCTAGTGTGTAGAGTGTATACATATTGTGCAGCTAGTCTAGATGTCAATTCATCCTCTCTAAGTATATGGTAAAGTGTTTCCGAGTCATTTAAATTAAAAAATGAACTGATCAATGTTTCAAATTGGGGGGGAAAGTATTTCTCTAGTCGTGGTGTATTTGGGGCAAAACAGAAGGAAGTGTCTCATCCTCTATTTGGTTTGTGTCACACTGTTTACATAATCTCTTTTCCTGATGCCGAGTTCAGACTGCGTGATTTTAGCCCCGATTTTGGCTCGCCGACAGGTTTTGAGAAATCGCAGACAAATGCTTGAAATCACAGGCAAATTGCTGCTCGTGCACGTGAGTGACAGTCACACAGTATGAACTATCAAAGACGCGATCTGAGAGAATCGCCGATGAGTCGCCGATGCCTGTGAGATATTTGGCGTGCTGAATATCTGGAGCTGTCGGCGATTCAAATCATGTCGTGTGAATTGAGTTGACTGAAAATAGCATCAGCGGTCGCCTACAGCCAATGAGAGAGCGGCATTCACTTGTGTGTGTGTGTGTGTGTGTGTGTGTGTGTATAGCTGCTGCAGGCCAGCGGGAGGCTGGGGGAGAAGTTAAAAGCGCTCTTTTTCTGTTTATTTGGACCCACGAAATGGAGGAAAAACTAGTGGAGGTTTGACAGGACTCAGGAGCAGCCGTGTCTGTTTGACGTTTCATATAGAAAGAACTTAGTTTATTAGCAACGTTAAGGAGAAACGGCTAATTCCCTTTAAACCCAGGTGAGCAAACATGTACATGTTCTACCCCATTAAAGGCTTCTCTCTCATTATGTAGTCAATAACAAAAGATATACGACGTGTTTTTGGCTGTGAGACGTAGTTTGGACGAAGTTATCGGCGATTCTTCCTATTCTAAAGTCATGCAATGTGAAAGTCCCTGTCGTCGATCCATCTTTCAGTGACAAAGCAGCGACGAAACGCTAGCCCAGATAGTCATGCAGTGTGAAAACATCTGTGACACGACTACTTTGAAAATCATGCAGTCTGAACTCGGCATTAGGAGTCCAGGATTTTTTATGTCTGCCTTTTTCTATTTCTCCATTTTTATTTTTTTTTATCTCTCTCTCACACACACACACACACACGCAATGCATGCCATCATTTCAATAAACAGAGCCATCGAATGATATGGACAACTTAACATTTAATTTTCAAACATTCAGTTTAATTTTAATCTGGACTAAAACGGAAATAAATTCTGACTAGTCTGATCACTTATTATTTTACACTACTTGATGCATTAGAAAGAATTGATAGTAAGAATGAGCAAAAACAGCAGTAGACAACATCTGAAATTGATCACAAATGTTCTTAAAAATCCTCTTAAGGCACAGTAATGGTGTTGTTCAACAGCTTCAGGAAAACTCTCGATCGACTTCAGATATTAACTACTGAATATGATGTAAAGGGATTTTCATAATAGCATACGAAAACTTTGATTCAGATCAGTACATTATACTGTAATGCATTCGAGTCTTCAGAAAGACATGTTTTTTTTTCCATAATGAAACTAATTGCAATCAATTAGAAAATCAAAATTAGAAAATTATAAAAGCAGTTATTCAGTTGGTGGATGAGGGGTAAACCTTCTTTATAAAATCCTGGAGGGTCTAATCCAGGGGTGGGCAAACTCAGTCCTTGAGGAACGGTGTCCTGCGTAGTTTTGATCCAACACTAACTGTTACGGTTGCTGTTTAATGGTGGGATTTTTGCGTCCCGTTCAATCCATCGTTTAAAACACCAGGTAAGAAGTGAATGCCACTTATGTATTTGTTTTGTTTTTAGTTCAGAATAGGTAAGATTACGGCTCTGAAGATTTTTCTTTTCTTTTACTTTTCTTGTTTCTAGCGAGGTAAGGGGTTTACTTATGAGTTAGTTTTAATTGTTTTGTTATATTTATATCTCTGATTTGGCTTCACTAGCGTCCCCTTACTCTTGAGTTGACCTAATTTTGTTTGATACTTTGTTTGTTACTTTATTATTGTAATTATTTTTCTTATTGTATATATATTTGGGGCATTATTCTGATTTCACTTTTTTAATCACTTTTGTTGGCAGTTTTGTTGTTTGTGTCTTTCACTTTAACCCATCATCTTGTAAAAGAACCACACCTTTTAAATGTTATTACTTTTACCCTAGACTAACATCAAAGAGGTAGTAACAATAATCCAACACACCTGAACATGCTGATCAGTGTCTTCAAGATCACTTAAAATCTATAATCAGGTGTGTTTGATTAGAGTTGAAGCTAAACTGTGCAGGACACCGGCCCTCCAGGACCTAATCCAAAGAGTGAATGATAATCTTTACTTACAATCAGGTTGACGATGAGCTGTAGAAGCTGCTCGAACCACGGCAGAACCTTCTCTCTGTAGCTGCTGAAGATGGAGTGCAGGATGTCTGAAACCTTGGTCAGGATGTAGACGTCATTTTCATCCTGAAACAGATCAGTAGTAGATTCAAAATCAGAATTTAAAAAAAATTAAAATAAATAAATAAATAATATTTGAGAAGCTCACCTCATCCTGTAGCGTCTCCTCAACCTGCTCATCATAGTCTTCATCCTGACGTTTGGCTGCATAGAAGACTCATTTTCACTTAAACTTGCATCTAGAATTATTAACCCTCAAATGCATTTAAAACCCTCAACGCAACTTAGAAAATCTGGCACTCTTAATGTTTTTGTAAAGTTTAGCACAGTTATATAATAATAAAATAATATATATAATATTAATAAATAAAACACCTTTACTGAAACTTTAAGGACTTTTGGCTAAAACTGACCTCACTGCAGTGAAGGTCAAAATATTCAAAAATTTAGTAAAAATTCAGTAAAAGCTAAAAATCAATCCACAGATATAATCAACACAACTGGTTTTAGCTTTAAATAGTAATAAGATGTGTTTCTTGATCAAATCATTCCACCAAATGATTTCTGAAAGATCATGTGACACCACAGAATCTTAAAAATTTATTTTTAAATGAAATCCCAACAGATAACACTACTTTAAGCGATCATTGTATTGTAGCTTGGTACAGCAATCTGAGTGTGTCAAGCATGAACAGGTTGAGCAGCCTGATGAAGGTGGCAGGCAAGATCATTGGTTTTAACCAGACTGGTCTAATGGTAATCTACTATAACTATGTTCTAAGGAGAGCTCAGGGTATCCTATGCACCCTGGATCACCCACTGTACTCTGTATTTCAAATTTTTATAATGGTGGCTATTAGCTCATTAAATGAGTCCAGGGGGGAGGGGGATGTCTCTATATACTGATGTATGGATGTTGCGATTTTTATTTATGTGTACATGGAACTTCGCCTGTGTTGTTGTACCTTGTTGCAATTTTAGTTTCCCTAACAGGATAATAAAGCCGAGTCTGAATTTCTGACAATATTGCAGCATTTCTGATCTAAACCTCAGCCTAGCAGGTTTTAAGTGTCTTCTGAGTGGCTCACCTTGTCGGACCTCCTGGTTTTTAAAGTGCTCCTCCAGTTTTGCTTTCAGGATGCCGCCGAGCTCCTCAAAGTGTTCATTGTTCAGGCATCCGTCACCCATCAGCTCGATGCACTGAGAGACACAATCAGAAGAAGATAAATAAACCAACAAACACTGAAGCTGCCATAGGTTCTTGCTTTAAAGCCAAACTTCCTGACATTTACTGATAAAATAGCTGAATTTCCATGACCAATGAGCACAGGGCATACAAAACTGAAAAATATCCTCTTTTTCATCTGTTTGGGTGCTTAAGCCCAAAGAAATATGTAAAAAATATCTTATTAAAAAAAATTCTTCCAGTCCAGCTTTTTTTTTTATATTGATTAGATTATAACCTTAATAAAACTGATTAATAAATTATAATTATTCTTTTACATAATACTTTAAATACAAGACTAAGTACCAGTTGTGGAGAAATGATAATGATAAAAAAATTGGCCAGTGAATGTTTATGCCACCTAATACAGACTACACTTCTATATAAAAAAAAAACCCACCATATCAATTTAAATTGATTAAAATGGAAAGTAAAAGGTTAAATTAATAATAATAAAAAATATCCCTGACATCCAATGACCTCCAGTGATTTACCTTAGCGAATGAATGCATGATTTCTGACAGCACGTCTGAGTCTGGTTCAGTGCCGATGGCTTTGATGAGGGCGTCACACATGAAGTGCCACATCTGAGTGAGGTATTCTGGGCCACGGACACGAGCGCACTCCAGCAGCAGAGGCATGGACTCCGCGGCAGCCACTCGCACACGTTCAAAACACATGTTAAGGACCAGTACACAATGCAATATGAATAAACTGACAACCATTAAAACAAAAACAGGATCCATCTACACACACACACAAAAAAAAAAAAAAAAAAAAAAAAAAAAAGTCTTGTCCTTCACTTGTTTCCAAACCTGACTGCATTTGTTGAACACAAAAGGAAGATATACTGGGGGGAAGCCACTGACTTCCATGGTAATATTTAACACCTACTACGGAGTACAATGACTGCTTTTTTATAGCATTGTTCAGAATATCTTGTTTTGTGTTTAACAGAAGAAGCATTCATAAAAGTTTGGAACCAGTCGAATGTGTGAATATTTTTGGGTGAACTGTCCCTTTAAGACAGTTGACCTCCCAATCATCCCCATCCACCGTATTGGTTCTATTACAATCCACTCCCCCTATAGCTGGTGTGTGGCGAGCGCACAGGCACCGTTGTCCTGTGGCTGCCATTGCATCATCCAAGTGGATGCTGCACACTGGTGGTGGAGTGGTATGGCCATACATGACAAATGCACTATATAAATACACATTATATTACATTAAGCACCATTCTGGATTGTCAAAAAAAAAGCACCATTTAAATAAAAAATAAATAAAAAGCATGCACTAAAATCTCAGCATTAACACAAAGGAAAAACGTTTGACCATCACAAATTAAACGGAGTCTCCTGAAGGATATCATCATGGAAGTAGAACTTGAGCAGAGGAACCATCAGCTTCACCACCTGCTCTGTGTATTCAACAAAACCCTCCTTCAGCTCTTTAGCGTAGCACACCTGATGAACAGACGGCAAAATAAACATTCATTATTAAATAATCACTATAATCACTGGTATGTTGTAAAGACACCTGCCAAAATAAAAAAATAAAAATACATGGTTTTTCTAGAAACATTTATTCTTGTGGAGTAAAAAAATAAATATGGCAAGACACTGGAGGGAAACAGAAAATGAAAAAAATCAATGCAATAAAAATAAACCATAACTTTAAGCATTGCTATTATTTTGTGCTTTAAATCGTCTTATTTACACATGATAGTGCTAACGTGTTCATTTGCATGCATTTCTACTTCAAATCTGAACATCAGATTTCGAGTTTAAAATTAGTGACAAATTCAAAAGGTTTTTACAGAGGAAATCTCATTAAAAGTAACTTAATGATTCAGAAAAAAATAATACTAAAAAAAACCTCAATTTATTGTAGAATAAAATGTTAAATTATGCAAATCTCTCTAGTTAACTTATATAGACCTCAATAAAATGGTTAAATTTGGTGCAGGCACTGCTGAAGTGAAGCATCATGACTCAAGTAGGGAGAACAAAAAACATTGTGGAAAAAGGTATTATAATAGAAATCTACAGGCACATATTGGTGTATTTACTTTAATGCATGTAGTTTTCTGTACATGAGAAGTGTGATAGTTTTGCATTAGGTTAAAGCACATGTCTGGATGGTGGATCATCTCACCAGCATCTGGCAGGCCGTGGCCTTTTCCTCCAGTCCTGCAGTCTTAATGCCAAAACTCTGCTGATCGCCCAGATTCACAAACTCCCAGCCGTCATCTTCAGACATGTTCTCCATGTCCTGAGCTGATAAAATATAAATAAATCAGTCAATAACAACATGAAAGAGCTGAATAATCAGACTGAATTACAGATAGAGACATTATACAGATCTAGTAGTTAACCTAATGCAAGATGTGTGTGCACTTGTGTCATTTAAACATGCTGATCTGTGTATTAAGGGAAACAAAAGTTGTAATTTACTGTAGATAAAAGGCAGAAGGATTGTTAAAAAAAAAAAAAAAAAAAAAAAACCTTAATGTAATTGACTAGTGAAAGCTTTTGCTATTTGGCCCACTTCAGCCTAGCTAGCATACATTTGCCACAAACAAAGGAATCATTTTTGGATGCACAATATATACAAAAAAATAATAATAATAAAATCATAAAAAGTATTAAATAATAAAATCTGCATAAAAATTTAATAAAATTTGCAAGTGAACAGTTTTAACTTGCTGAATTTAGCAAGTGAATAGAAACATTTTAAATAACTATAATTGAAACCTAAATTTAAAAATCCTTGTAACTTGGTTAACAAAGGGTGAAAACCTGAAAAAAAGTGGAAAAAATAAATAAATATATAAAATAAAAATAAAAAATAACAAAATTAATAAATAAAAATTATTATTAAAAATAAAAAATAATTAATAAATTAAAAATAATGCTTGCATGCATTTAAATGCAAATTGTGAACAATTTTTCAATTGTATGTATTTTGATGGCAACCAAAATCTATACCATGAGACAAAACAGCTACAAAAATGCTTGCACGACAAATAAAACCTAAAATTACATTTAAAAATATTTTAATTAATTAAATAGAAACTAGATTCATGGAAATTACCTCATGTTTGCATGCAGCTTTAGATACAGATTGTGAACTGCATCAACTCGCTAACTTAAGTGAACAAACCCGTTTTAAACAATAACTATTAATAATTTTATAATATAATTAAAAACTAAATGTGAAAATCTGAACTTGATTAAAACATAAAAAAGTGAAAAAATAAGAAAATTATACAAGTATATAAAAATATAAATTATAATAAAATAAATAAAAATAAAGTTTACATGCATTTCAATGCAAATTGAACAATTTTACATTATGTATTTTGATGGCTAGAAAAATCTATACCATGAGACTCAGATCTACAAAAATAAGAAAATGGTCTCACACACGACAAATAAGAACTAAAATTACAATTAAAATATATTTAAATTAATGAATTTAAATAGAAACTAGATTCATGGAAATTACCTTAAGTTTGCATGCAGCTTTAAATACAGATTGTGAACTTGCTAACTTAAGAGAACAAACCCGTTTTAAACATCACCTATATTAATAATGTCATAATATAATTGAAAACTAAATTTGAAAATAAACTTTATATACATGTCTAATTTTTACCCCTTTTTTAACAAGTTTGCATGCATTTTTAATCTGAAGTTGTGAACGCTATTTTTACATTTTATACATCGTGATGGCTAGCAAAACACACCATGGGATGCGCAGAGCTATTATAAGGACAGAGTTAAAATAAAACCCTCTGCAAAATTTAGATGTTGGACTGCAATACCCAATTCAACCACTAGGCCAATAACACAAGGCAATTTTAGCCATTTGCATCCCAAACACAAGTGCTCTTACTGTCTAGTAGGGCCACTTCAGGTTTAATGGACGCAGTTTTCATCAGCGGCCCCATCACCACAGGCAGATACTGCTGAAACTCCTTCCCCAGGATCTTACACATGCGGGCCCATGCAGAGATCATGTAAGAGATCTGGAGACAGGAAAGAGAGCAGCTCGAACACACATGGAGACACTCTGGGTCCGTGATGAAGCTTATTTTAGCTTTTGCTGACCTGCGGATCGTCATCCTCCAGGTCATTGAAGTCAGTCTGAGTCTTCAGGAGGAGCTGCATCACCGCTGAGGCGTCCGGCATGAACTGCGGCACAAACACACATTAAGAACAGGTTACACTAACACGAATCAGGCATTCAAGTCAGTCAAAAATGGGGTTCAAGAGAGACAAGAAAATATATACGGGATTTATACAGTTATTTAGGATTAAATAGAGAAAATCCTAAGATTAATCAAATATTATACTATAAAATATTAGGGAAACACTTTAGGATAATGGTCCATTAATGTATTTATTAACATTAGCAAAGTATGAAATTGTAAATGTATTTATTAATGATAGTTTAACATTTACTAATGCATTATTAAAATCAAAGTTGTGCTTGTTTACATTAGTTAATGCATTGGGAGTCAACATCAAATAACTATTTGCCCTAAATAACATTAACAAAGATAAACAAAGCAATAAATGTATTACTAATTGTTTGTTTAATACTAGTAAATAATGGACTGTTATTTTAAAGCGTTACTAATATTAGTGGATAGAAAAGACCAAAATAAAACCTAAAAAAAAAAAAAAAAAAAAATTCAGGGTTTCTACAGGTTTCCCAAAGTACAATTTAAGACATTAAGACTCTTATGAATGAAATATTATTAGACTTAAACAGGGCTAAATGCTATTGATTTTTTGAATATCCCAGTTGGAAAAGATTTCCACTTGCCAACAAAAAAAAGATTATAATTTGATACATTTAATACAATAATAATATAATAAAAAAAATCTCAGGACATTATCATCAGCAGTAAACAAATGAAGAACTTTAAAACAAATGTTACTGTAAGTCTTTAAATGCTATTTTAAACAGTTAAAGGTTTAATTGAGATTAGTTGTTGGTGATTGTATGGGTGGTAATGGCCAGACTGATTAGATGAACATGAACAAAGGAAAATAAAGACAAGTATTTATATATATATATATAAAAAAAAAAAAAAAAAAAAAAAAAAAAAACAGTAGATTAAAGACCCCCACGGACACCCTGATTTTAGTAAGAATACTTAAGATCAAATAATTAAAACATTTAAATAAAAATAAATACATTTTTATATAAAAAAAATTATTTTATATATATATATATATATATATATATATATATATATATATATATATATATATATATATAAAAATAAATAAACCAAACAAACAATTTTTTTGTTTAAGTAAAAAAAAAGGAAAATATGCATGTACATGTATGCATATTTTTATTTATTTATTTATTTAATGTTTGTTTGTATATATATATATATATATATATATATATATATATATATATATATATATATATATATATATATATATATATATATATATATATATATATATATATATATATATATATATATATATATATATATATATATATATATATATAAAAATAAACAAAATTCATTAAACTGGATTAATAAATTATAAAAGGGTAAAATATAAATTAAACTATTTAAAAATGAATATACAAAAAAAAAAAATCAGAAATAAAAACTATTAAAATGATCTAAATATTTAAAATAAATCATTTAGAAAATTTAGTGTAAAAAGTGTAAAAAATAGTGTAAAAAATACATAAAGATTGTAATCTGAAACTGAAGCATTAAAAGAAACTAGTATTGAATAACTTTAAAGGATAAATTTGATTCAAATAAGTAAATAAACCTGACATTATAAAGCAGAGTTATCGGTTTACACGATCACCTTCTCTTTGCCCACAGCCAGGCCGATCAGGCTGATGCACTCGATGGTTTTTCCTCGGAGCAGACGAAGCTCTTTCTGAATGGCGTTTTCTACGATGTGTTTGAGAGACGGCATGAACAGATCGTAATACGGCACAAACTTCTCCTCCGCGGTATCAGCCACCGAAGCGATGGACGTCACCACCTGCTCCAGCACCAGTTTAGTGCCTTTCTGGATCAGCTGGAGGATTAAAACCCAGATATACAGAGAATTAACTCGCCACCATAACCCAATTAGCAAAAAATGTCAAAACACAGCAAATATGGGAATTCACACTCACACAAAACCTAATATCTGAATTGAGGCTCAATTCAATTTCAATTCAGTGAGACTAAAATGAAAATCAATTCATTTCTGAATCAAACTACAACGGCCTCAACCCAGATCAGACTAAATCTCACCACGATAGCTTTGTGCACCTAACAGGAGAGAAAATGCATGAATAAACTGGTATCCAGAGCTAAACTCATTACAGGAGGAGCTTGTTAATTAATGCAGTAAATGAGTAGGCCTTTCACAATCAAGTCAAGCTGTGATGAACAACAGAACTCAATACATCCATTATGAGATTCAAAATACATCACCAGTCTCTACTGAATCAAACCTGAGCTCAGTTTTAAACAGACAGTGCTGTATGCTTTTCTTATTAACACCACTTGCGTTGCTATACCACAGAGAACAAATATTTGATCATGACAGGCCTGTGAAATGAGTGGTCATGTCGTACCTCCTGCAGCTTGGCCACCATGATGACGTGCAGATGCTGGACGAGGCTGTCCAGATACGGGACGAGCAGGGTTTTAGGACAGTCCTCTGTGAAGTTGATGAGAGCGGCTGCTGCGTGAGCCTGAACGCGAGGGTTCGACTGATCCTCCATGGTCTGCAGGAGCGCAGAGATCACCTACACAACCAGGAGATGACAAAACCTCCAATTAATCGCTGTGCAGCTCTATTCAGGAGCCATCTTAAATTCAGGATCACTGTGATCACAATATTTCAACGATTTAATTATTAATTTAACTAATAATCTTAACTTAATCAATAGATAATACATAATATTAATAAGCATAATAATGAATGTATAATAAATAGTCTATTAATACTATAAATAATAATTAACAATATTTTACTTATTTTTATAATACATATTATAATTATAACAATGATGATGATAATTATAATAAAAATAATAATCGACAATATTAATACATACTATTATTATTATAACTATGATGATGATATTAATAATAAAAATATTACAGTAAAAGTATTTTACTTTTTTATAATAAATATAACTACAACGATGATGCTAATTATTAATTATAATTAATATATTAATATATAATTAATTAATTAAGATTATTATTAAATAAACAATATTATTTATATAATAAATGAATATTAATAAATTCTTAATTTCAACAATATTTTACTTTATAATACATATTATTATTAGAACTATGATGATATTATTATTAATAATAATAATAATAATAATAACAACAACAGCATTTTACTTATTTTTATAATAATATATTATTATTATTATTATTATTCTTAACTATGATAATAAAAAATAATAATATTTAAGCCAGTTATTACATTTAATAAATCACAAGTGTTATTTAAAATCGCCTATTATTACCCATAATGATGATTACACAGCTCTCTAAAATACTTTATTCTGATTGGTCAAAAATCATGATATTCCCATGCATGTTATTCTCAGATGTTCGGCACTATCTTGCTACCAAAAATAAATAAATGGGTAGGAAAGTGAAGGCTGCATTGACACTTAATTAATGGTAATTTAATTAAAAAAAAAAACTTGAATAAATCTAGCAAAAAGAATGTTGCTATATTGCTTAAAGTAATGCAGTTGTAGTATTTATTACATTATTATAACGTATTGTAATTGAATGCAATTTAAATGTACATCAGGATTCCTATATAATACAAAATTAAAAATGTACATTGCTTTTCTTAAATGTACCTGCTATTTAATTTCTGAAATAATTTGAAATCATAAGAAATAAAATACAAGCCAATGACCATTTTAAGAGCCACTTGCAATTAATTTTTTCAAGCTCACACAAATAAAATAACCACACCCACCCCTATTAAAATCAAGCCAATACCTTGTCATGGAATTTCTTCTGGAAGGTTGGGGCGAAGTCTGTGGCCATCTGTCCAATAGCATTGCAAGCAGCGTATCGAACCCTGGGGTGCTGAAGGGGTTAGAGATCAGTTACAGCACTACAAACCCACAAAATAAATAAAAATTAAAGCTGCCTTCAGAGTTCTTACTGGATCCTGACAGAAGAGCAGGACGAAGCTGACAATTTCACTCAGAATGGCCTCCATCTGTTGATGACAGCCTTCGCCAATCGCAGACAGAGCCATCAGACCCGCGTGCCGGTACTTCCAGTCCGCTGCAGGAGACACCACAGCCATTCTGAACTGAGCAGATATTCATTGCACTTCTGGAAGTGCTAATATAGCAGATGCATTGACTCACGGTTCTGCAGCATCTGCATGATGTGCTGTTTAATCATGGGAAGGATGATCTTTCCTCCAAGGCCACATGCAATCCTGTCCAGAGCACTTTCACCAGCAACAGCATTACTGAAAAGAGATCATATAACACTTCAAGTAAAACCACTTAACCATCCTGTGGTCTTATTCTGTATATTGCCTAATTATGTTGTATATTATAATCGTATTCTATATACACTATTCGCCATTTAGGTCAAACATGTTCCACCTTCACCAAACTTTTCAAATCTTTAAAACTATTTTGCATGAAGAAAATGAAGAAGCTCATCTCAGTCACAGTGTAGATTTCACCAATGATTAATCAAAGAGCAGAACTTGTCGTTGAATTAAGTGCACATTTTCTTAAGCTAAAATTACCTGCATAAGCGAAAATAGTCAAGTATACAGTTGAAACCAGAAGAAGTTCATATACACTCTAAAAAAGGAACATAACCATTTTTTTTTAAATGTCTGATGGTAAATCATACTAAACATTTACTATCTTAGGTCCGTTAGGATTACCTAAATGGATTACATTTGCTAAACGCCAGAATAATGAGAATTTCCTTGGTATTTTTGTAGCTTTGCTTTTAAACTGTATAACTTTGGTCAAATGTTTTGGGTCTCCTTCCACAAGCTTCTGACAGTAGTGTGCAGGAATTTCAACTCTGCCCACAAATTTTCTATAGGATTGAGATCAGGGCTTTGTGATGGCCACTCCAAAACATTCACTCTTTTGTCCTTAACACATGTTAACTCATTTGGCAGTGTGCTTAGGGTCATGGTCTGTTTGGAAGACCCATTTGTGGCCAAGTTGTAATGTCCTGGCTGATGTCTTGAGATGTTGCTTCAGTATTTCTCCATAATGTTCTTTCTTCATGATGCCATCTCTGCTGTGAAGTGGACCAGTCCCTCCTGCAGCAAAACAGCCCCACAACATGATGCTGCCGCCCCCATACTTCACAGTTGGGATGGTGTTCCTAGGCTTGTGCGCTTTCCCCTTTGTCCTCCAAATGTAACACTGCTCATTATGACCAAACAGTTCAATCTTAGCTCCATCCAAGCACAGGACATGTCTCCAAACATGAGTCTTTTTCCCCAGAGTCATTTAGCTAATGGTAATCTGGCTTTGTTGTTGATTCTGGCTTGTTGATTTATCATGTTGTCACACAAGGAAGCAGTGTGTTTGAGCTTTTCCCTAAATGCTATTCTACAGTTGTGCCTCACATTACCTCAATTGTTGTCAATCAGCCAATCAGAAAATTCCAAAACCTTCACATCATCATCTGAGCTTTTTCAGAGGCAGAATAATCGTATTGTATGGAAACTTGACTTTCAAGAAAAGTAATAACAATTTCTCAATAAATCTCTCTCATTATTCTGCTATTAAGCAGAACAGAAACACATGCAAAAATCCTGACCTACCAAAAAGAGAAAGTTTAATCACATTAACATCTGACTTTTTTTTAAATGGTTTGTGGCTTTTTATACAGTGTATGTAAACTTCTACTTTTAACTGTATATAGTTTTTAAAAAAACATGTAATGGTACCCAGGTCATGTTTTAAATCCAAGTCAACACGAGGGTTAAGCTGAAACCAAAATCGTAGACTTTCCAGCTCCAATACCCTCACATTCAAGCACTTCATTTAGGGAGATGTTTCAAGTGAGCAAGGTTACAATATGTTACCTAGTAAGGCACCACATAGATTTTTGGCCATGCGACAGATCTGAAATCCTATTTCTTTTAAATTAAAAACAAACAAAAAAATTAGAATATTGTTATTAATGTTTGACTTTCATTGAAAACATTTGAGTACAAGAGCATAGGCTTTAGGATAAATGATTTTCCGTGCTTCATGGGTCTACAAACTAACAAGAATTCAAATTTATTTAAATAAAAACTGTGCATTTCCCAGTGTTGGGTTTCACCTGGAAGGGCATCCACTTTGTAAAACAAGTAGCCGGTTCATTCTGCTGTGGTGACTCGATTAATAAAAGGAACTAAGCCGAAAAGAAAATGAATGAAAAACACCTGTGGAATCCCAGTTTAACCAACGTGTCTTTTACAGCAGCAAAACAATTAACTACAGAGATCAAATGCCAACAAGCCAGCCAAGAAAACTAGATGCCATAAAAAAAAAATTTACAGTATGCCAATTACCTATTGCTCAAAAATACCTAAAGCCATATGCACCCAAATGACCAATCAGATTCAGAGCATAGAACGGACTGGTATACACCACCCCAGAACGAACTTTAATAGTGCACAAATTAAACTCACCTGTCGAAATCGTCATCCTCCAGTTCATCAGCCATGGCCCACTCCTCATCCTCCTCCAGATCCACCATCATAGTCAACATCTGAGGCACTGAACACACAATCAGTATTACACAACTGCAATTAACTAGCATTAAGAAGCATTTGAACCAAGTCTAAGAATAAGAAAGTGTTCTACCTTTATTAATTCAGAAGTTAAATGGGACACAGAGCATGTCAGATTCTAGAGAGCATTTGCTTGGTCAGAAATTTGAGAAACTGAAGTATGTTGCGAAAAATCGTTGATCCATTACGAGAGAAGTGTCAAACTGCAAGCATTTGTGTTTATATATTCCAAAAGCAAATAATTTCACTGTTTTGTAGCCCACTAGTTTGGATATCCTTAAAACTAACATCTAAGAAACTATTTTAATATCACAGGACTTAAAAAAATAATAAAAAAATTGCTTCAAAAGTAAATTCCTCACATAATTAAGATCAACACAATGCAATAAAATATGCTTCATGAAGTGCTTTTTACAAAGAGAGCATGTGTGAGGATCTTCTCAATGTATTAAAAACTGGTCACCGTTGAGTTTTACCAACATTTGGACATAATTAGCACAGCTCTGGAAATTATCCGAACATCACGACAAGTTTAAAAGTGTCTCACCGCTCTGAGCAACGATGTTGGTGTGTTTCCTCAGCATGGCAGCTGCAGTTTCAGACAGCGTGACGATGACTTCCAGAGCAAGCTGACGCTGCATGTTGGTGAGGTTTGTGTCTGCACACAGCTGGAGTTAAGAAGAAAAACTCAATTAACCAGACTGTGACAAACCTTATTCTACACTGAGCAAAAGCCATGACATGGTTTGGACATTTATTTTGCACATATCTTGCATCTAATCTTGAAAATAAGTGCTTGATTTGGTCCGTGATGTTGGAAGACTGGGACCATGAGAATAGTTTGTGATATGGAGGGGGTCGAGCACTCAAAACAATTAAGCAGCACTGATTTAAAGCATCACTCTTTAAGCATCATGGTTTAAATGCTCATGACATGTTTCTGCAACCGGGCTGTGGAAGCTGCATGGAAATGTCAGCCACCACGCATTAAATTGCAGAGATCAATGTGTGCCCGTCAAACACAACCTCAAGCATCAGCACCGATGAGCTGTCTTAAGGAACCACAAGGCACATGAGGTTTTAATGCAGGATTCATCCGCTCAAGATCAAATCATCAACCGTCTGCACATCCTCTCACCTTCAGGCTCAGCTGCAGAGTGGCTTCTAGGTTTGGTCTCAGGTATTTGGGGGCCGTGTCTGCAATCTCCACCAACGACTTCAGCACAGAGTCATCACCACGGTAACAGGACTCATTCACTGCCTGATTGAGGAAGAGAACACATCGTTGTAGTTCATATTCTTGCACCAGATCACCAGAAATTAAATTTAACCTCTCAATTGATCCCAAACCTTTAGGTTTGTTTCTCTTTCTTCTGAAAACTAGAATATATTTTGGGAAAAAAAAAAAAAAAAAAAAGAAAAACTACAAACTATTGACTAATACAAATTGTATTAGGTTTCTATAAATATTATTATTATTATCGTGAACGTTTTTAAATTAAATTTTAGCACAATCACTTTTACATTTTCTAATTTTTCCAACACTTTACAAGTGTGACAAGTTACACATTTGCATACAAAAACATTTAAAATTTTAATTTCAAAGACCGCAGATTAAAATAATAATAATAATAATAATAATAACAACAATAGGGCGAAGCAGTGACGCAGTAGGTAGTGCTGTCGCCTCAGCAAGAAGGTCGCTGGTTTGAGCCTCAGCTCAGTTGGCGTTTCTGTGTGGAGTTTGCATGTTCTCCTTGCGTTCGCGTGGGTTTCCTCCGGGTGCTCTGGTTTCCCCCACAGTCCAAAGACATGCGGTACAGGTGAATTGGGTAGGCTAAATTGTCCGTAGTGTACGAGTGTGTGTGTGTATGTTTCCCAGAGATGGGTTGCGGCTGGAAAACTTGCTGGATAAGTTGGCGGTTCATTCCGCTGTGGCGACCCCGGATTAATAAAGTGACTAAGCTGACAAGAAAATTAATAAATAAATATTATTAATAATACAATTAAAAATTACAGGGAGATCATACAGCAGGCACTTGCTCAGCTCATTTTATGCACAAGCAGAGATTAATTCAAGTTTAAATAGTTAATCAGAAGTCATTTAGTCATTAATTACTATAAAAGTAGCAGTTTTAAGCACTTCATCCAAAATCTAAGCACGTTTAAAACCTTGAACGCTAAATTACAGTTCAAGCATATTCAAGGATTTCTGGCACCCGTAAAAACCCTGTTTTATAGAATGATTGCAGGTTTTCCAAATATCTTATTTTCAACAGAAGTATTTCATATCTTAAGCAGAAGTCATTGGTAAAATATGTGGTCAGAAGCGCTTCACCTGCAGGATGCCAGGAAGAAGGTCAGAGAAGTGTTTCAGCAGGGCTGTGTTTCCCTCATTGGACAGGATGAAGGATGCAGCTGCACGTGCAGAGAGGGTTCGAATCTGAACAAGAGGGAGAAAAGAAAGAAAGTTAAGAGTCACCCTTGGCCACTTCAATTATTTAAGGCAACTTAATATGCAATCTGAACATACCATAGGTTGTTTTTTTTCATTACCACATCAGCAACTTGTGGCTATTTCAACGTAGATAACATTACAGAATAATATGCATCATGAGAAAGACCACCACAAACCAACAACTCCAATTATTGAGTGAAATAGTAACCAGTATGCATCATGTAATTAACCACATTACGCCCTTTTTTTGTTGCAGAAACAATGTCAAACATATCTGCATTAAAAAAAATTAAGTGTAATCTATACATTTCACTTCACAACTTTATTCATCCAAGTAGAAAAGGATTAATTTCTGAATTATATAAAAACATTAGCTTTGAACACGCTTATGGTCAAGGAGATTACCCCCAAATTTGTAAAGTGCTAAATAATGTCAAGTTATTTCTTGTGGTTATCAAATGTGTGTAAGTTGCTAATAAACGAGAGACGCTGACCTGTGGGTTTTCCTGGTCCTGCATGCACTGAACCAACATGCGCTTGATCACTTCCATGTAATGCTGCTGCTGATTGCCGAAGATGCCTGGGAAGTTCCTGAATACACAGATCATACATTTCATCAATACATTAATTAACAAAAAGCAACACATTTCCATTTCTGGACTGAACTTGCATGTTCGGTTCAGTTCAAATGAACACGGTCGGATTTGTTTTATCGTTCATGGAAATGTCTGATGAGCATCAAAACTCTGATCGGCTGTGACTGAAATAAGAATGTGTACATCAAAAGACACCTAAATAAAAACCAAAAACACAGACTGCATTTAAACTCAAGCAGACCACTTGCAATACACCAAGTTCAGCAATATATGGTAGATCAATTGCAGGCAAATGATTACTTTACAAAAAATTAGAGACACGGCCAATTCATACTGGATTGAGATCACAAACTCTGAAATTATTAAAATCGACTATCGGTCCCCAGATAATACTGATCTCATGTGCTTAGGGCTTAAATTGAAGTTAATCTAAGGGTGCTTTCACACCTGCCTTATTTAGCTCGATTGAATCGCACTAGAGTTTGTTTTCCCTTTTGGTGTGGTTCGTTTGGGCAGGTGAGAATGCAGCACTCGTACTCGAGTGCGCATCAAATAAGCGCACAGAGACCTGCTTGAAGAGGTGGTCTCGGTACACTTTCAAACGAACCCTGGAGCGGTTCGTTTGCAGTGAGAATATGATCCGTACTAAAACAGGTCCAACCGCAAAAAGTACTGTACTTTTAGACTAATCCAGCTGCCGTAGGCCGATGCGCTGTGCATTATGGGATATGGAGGAAAATATTTGTTGACAGCGCTTTACCAACAGAGAGAGAGAGAGAGGGGAAAACATTACTTGATGGATCGTTGGTAATATTTCCGCAAGATGAGCATGTCGCAGTTTAGCTAAATTAATTCACGCCTCCTGAAGTGACGAGCAATGCAATAAACACTGTTTTCCAGCCGCGGCCGCACTTCATTCTCGAAATATATAGTTTGTCTAAAGCAGGGATACAATCAGCCAGCGCAGTCGCCCCTCCAGAGTAAAAGGTTTTGTTTACCTGTGGGAGTTCATTGGCATTTTCCGGCACGTGAATTCTGACCAATCAATAAGCAGTTTAGGAAATATGTTCAACAACATCTGGCCAATGAGAGATGTGGATTTTGTCAGATGACTGCATTTTGGTTCGTTTCAACTGGTTCAAACCAAAGCCAGCAGTGTGGTGTGAAAACGACCCAAAGACGGCAGAAGATGCAACAATACATCATGTATTGCCCTTGGTCCGGACCAAATGAAGCGAACTACAGATGTGAAAGCACCCTAAGAGGTAAGGAAGTATCTTCCAAACTGCAGAGTTCAAAAGTTCACACACCAGAAAATGTGCAGCGCTGCTTCTCGGAGGCCGACATCTTGAGAGTTGACTGAATCAAACAGGAACTTGAGGATTTCTGGCCACTGGTTATTGCCGTCATCATCTAGAAATTAAGAGAAGAATTCATTTAATTGGCTTGATTTAATGTAGAAAATAAAAGAAATCTGATAAAACTTATACACAAAGCATTCTAGTCTAAATAGACTTGGCCCAATAGGTCTTTTGCGAATTTCTATATTATGAAATTGCTCCATTATATTAACTGTGTGATTATAATAATACATTCATTATATTAATGATATGAATTAACACATTTAAAATGTACAATTAAAGATGTACATAAACAAGTTAAGCACATTTATTAATGTGTATATATACAGTTGAAGTCAGAATTATTAGCCCCCCTAAATTATAAGACTGCTTGTTTATTTTTTCCCCAATTTCTGTTTAAGGGAGAGCAGATTGTTTCAACACATTTCTCAACATAATAGTTTGAATAACTCATCTCTAATAACTGATTTATTTTATCTTTACCAGGATGACTGTAAATAATATTTTACTAGATATTTTTAAGACACTTCTATACAACTTAAAATGACATTTAAAGGCTTAACTAGGTTAATTAGGTTAACTACGCAGGTTAGGGTAATTAGACAAGTTATTGTATAACGATGGTTTGTTCTGTAGATTATCAAGAAAAAATATAGCTTAAAGGGGCTAATAATATTGTCACTAAAATGGCTCATGAAAAATTCAAAACTGCTTTTATTCTAGCCGAAATAAAACATTTTTTTTTTCTTCTGGAAAAATTCTTATATCAGACACTATGAAAATTTCCTTGCAGTTAAAAAAATAGATAATAAAAAAAATTAAAATAAAAAATAAAAAAGATTGAAGGTGGCTAATAATTCTGACTTCAACTGTGTGTATGTATATATATATATATATATATATATATATATATATATATATATATATATATATATATATAAAATGTATTCATAATATAAAATTCTTTGAGCCATTTGTGACCTAACATTATTATGATCAGTCATCACTGATTTCATAATAATAATAATAATAATAATAATAATAATAATAGCCTTCTCAAATTTTTGCTGCATCAGACGTGTTTATTTCTCACTTATTAAATCATATTTTGATCTCTTAATCTTCAGAAAAAAATTAATTAAATAAACCCAAGCGTCTCAAGTGTCGTGTGATTGGCTGTTTAAGCGAGTGCCATGCTTTCAGCTGCACTCCAGAGTTAATCAAACTCTAGGATAAACCAAGTTAACACAGAAAGTTTACGGTTGAGCATTGTGAAGCCACTGAGCCTGATCTTAACCAGGTTGGAGCCATTTATTTTTTTAATTGCCCAGAGCATGTTTAACTTATTTTGTGCAACAACAGTCCACTAACCGATGAGATTGCGTGCGAGCTCTGCAGCAATATCACAGGTCTTCTTGCGGATGTTGGTGGAGGCTTCAGACCGGATTCCAGCGAGCAGCTCTGTCTTGATGGCCGTCTGGATGTCTACGGTCAGGTTGGGATAAACCTCCTCAAAAGATGAGGACAGCAGGCGGCGCAGCAGAACAGCCGCCATCTGCTTAACCTAAAACACCAGAACACATCATCAGAAGAGCCCGGGACGTCACTTCTGCAATGTCTGCTTTCTAAAATAAAGCTGTAGGTGAATTAAAAAAAAAAACAGGAAGATTAAACTGCAGATGGCTGTTTACAAGTTGCAGCTTCTTGTTCAGGTTGATAGTTAGTCCACAACGCATCCTTAGAGATTTATTTGTTACTTTATAATTTAATAGTGAGAATTGATCCTTTAAAAATGAAGTCTTTAAGCTCAAACTTAAGATATTAGTTGGGTTTAGTTTAGGGCTGCATAATATTTAGTCTTAGCATTGATATTGCAATTATTGATATTGCAATTGCAATTGATATTGCAATTATTATATTTGCAATAGTCACATGTCAGAAGATGCAATGCAGTCTGGATTATAATTATCATCACTTGCATGTGTTTTTGAGATGGTGAGAATTTTAAAAGCATTCATAAGAAATTGTTCAGTTTGCAACTTTAACAAGTTTATTGAATTTATAAAATAAAGACTATGCAGTATTTTACATTTGATTATCACATTACTGTACCTGAATACTGTTAAGACTCAAAACACAATGAAACGGTTCATTTAATTTTTATTGATTATATTGATTTATGCTCGTAGATTGTTTATTACATTTTATGCAGATGCACTCCCCTACAGAATATTCCCAATGGGTCTAACTATAAATTCTTTACAGAGATTTTATTTATTTGTGGTTTAATGCCAACCTATTGCATTACTCGTGCAATTTGACATGCTTTTCAAACTTTTTTTTTTTCTGCGTCCTCATTGGCTGTCACTCAGGGCGTATTCACACTATGCCATCTGTACCGTGCCCAGGCCCGTTTCCCGGATCGTTTGAGAAGTGTGTGTGCGCTAAATCGGGCTCAAACACGGTTCACTTGGCCGGCCCTGGCCCGGTTGGAAGAGGTGTGCCTGAGCACGGTTCACTTGGGCTTTGGCGCGGTACGCTTGTGTGTGAGTGCAAAATGCGCCAAAGCCCGAAACTGAAAGCGAGACGTGACTTTAAGGGACTGTTTCATATGGATTTATTAATCATTCATACTGTTCAGTGAACGCAAACTGCCGTAGTTTATTAAAGACGCACACGCCTCACAGCTGCGCGGCTTCAGCAGACCTCCTCATTCCTGCAGCACGAGGGCTTTATGATTGTTTATGAGCGCCAAAAGAGGCGGATCTGTTCGGTGAAATATCTGACTGCGTGTCACCGCATGCCTAAGGACTGTTTGGCGAAATATTTGCGAGCGCGGGCCGTCAGGGGAGACGGGAGGGGGGATAAGCGTGCTTTGGCCCGGTTCAAGGCAACTGTACCTAGTGTGAGTACGGCCTTAATCTCCTCAGTGTCCTATACAGTACAAGATGTGTTCAGCTCGCCAAATTAACATAAATCTTCGGCCGCTAGCAGTGCGAGTTCCAACTAGATTGCAAAAAGGCTTGAAGGATGGAGTCTGCTTTCGCTTTGTGAATCAGTGACTGCAGAATAAAGAACATTGCGCTGGACGCAAACATTATCTGCACAAAATCTCAAAAGCTTTATAAACCTTTTGCTGACAGCGATGAATGTTTGCGCCTGACAGTAGGTTTTGATTTTTGGTTTATTTTATAATAATGGACTTATTTTTCTATGAAGGTTTGAACTTTGAAAGTATTAAAACAAGAGAAAAGTGTGAAAATGTTAATGCCTGTCTGAGAAAAGCGTATAAAGTGTGTAGTGAGGGGTTTTACAGCCTTAAAACATCTATAATAACTGTAGGGCTGCAACAACAAATCAAACAAATCGATTACTAAAAGCGTTGGCAACAAATTTCATAATTTATTTGTTGTGTCGCACAACATGAGGAGGAGGAAGAAGAGGAACTTTTAACTTTCTGCAAAAATGTTTAGCAACATTTCTAAAGTTTACATAACTGGAGCACTGCAATGACCAATCAGCATTCAAGACCAAAATCAATTCTTTTCTAGAACCTTGAGTCAGAGTTACAAGTGACTAGTGACTGTCGCATTAAAGATGTTCCTCTGTACATCGCATTAAGTCAGAATTAAGGAAGCAGAAGTGTACACAAGGACTTTTGTAGGTATACCGTCGCACTCTAGTTTCACACATCTATTAATACCCGAGGTCAGAAGACTGAAGAGAGACAGTAGGTGAAGAGCAGCCTTGAAATGCAGCTAGAGGACAAGTAAACAATGCTATAATCTCAAACCTTCAGGTGACTAAAACAGCACATATACTATGCTGTGTGTATATAATATTTAATAAAAATATTCAGCTTGGTTACTTTAGTACTAGAAGATTTAATAAAAATACAAGCATCTAAAAATAAAAAAGTACTGTAATTCCACAAAGAAAATCTAACATATTAAAGCCTTCAATGAGTAGGATTAACACAACTGAATGATTTTAACCAAACATTATCTTTAAATACTTAATGAAATGGGTTTCAACCCAATTCGGAATCAGGTATGGCCTAATATACTGTATATTGTGGGGTACATATACTTTAGTTGAGAATCAGAAAACAGTTCAAAGCAAATATAGATTCACACACAGCAATATTGATGCTGAAATGATATATTGTTCAGTCATATCACGCATTTTACACACACACACAAAAAAAACAATGATAATAAAATCTTAAATGCCTAGATATCTTTTAAAACCTACCCTGAATAAAAACTGTTCTGATATCATTTAAAAACTTTATAGACTAAGAATACATGTTTAGTGTCAAAATATTATTGCACAAGTCACTAATAGGTTTTCATCTTGAGCAATCACAGTTGTTCCAGGAATCAAAATTCAACACCAGCATAAACAAGGTCAATCTGAATCTCTCTTCGCCCACTCACGGTCAGCACAACGCCTGTACTTTACCATTAACAACATCGGAATGACTGCGAGACATCGACTTCCCTACAGAGAGCAGCTATGAGGCTTAATGGACAGTGTAAACAAAGCCTTTTCTGATGTTTATACAGTTTAAAAGCAGCATGGCATAGAGTAGAGCACTGCATGATATAGAAAACAACATGCATTGCAATATTTCTGCAATTTATACAATGATGTTTCCCCAGATACACTTTTATATCCTTAATTAATAGCTCTATTTGGAAAGCATAATTAAGATTTTAGATTGATCCGGGTTGATTTTGTAGAATGCATTTAGATAATATACATTAAACTAAATTACCAGCATAGATAAATACAGTAGAGCAACTCTACAAATGAAGGCATCTAATGGTATTCAGGTTTAAGAATAATCAAGCGCACAATAATCCTGCACTGTCTTCATAGTATAAATAAGTACAAATAATACATCTTTGTTAAAGCCACACTGCAAAAATATCCGTAAATCAGAAGTTTTCTGTATTTTGAGATGTGTTTTTATTTTTTCCGACTTAGTTATGCTTATTAATTGCATTATGAGATCTTGATCTTTTTTTCCAGCAACTTCCTAATAGTTTAAAGTGCAACATTGCCTGGGTTGTTGTAGATTACGCTACAAAAGCCCTCTAATAAACTGCCGGTGCATTTTGTTATTTTACAGACTTATTTCTCTATATATTTTTATTATAAAATCACACACATTAGTTCAAACTACTCAAATGACAATAAAGTCACATAGTTAAACTGTAGAGTTGAATCTCAAAAAGTCAGAGCCGAAATCAAGGTCAAATAATGCAATTCACAAGGTTACAGTGTGTAATTACAAATGTAATATTCCTCGTCCAAATGTTTAAACTTGCTTAAATATTAAAAACAGACCTTAAAACACACACAATTGATAAACTAACCCTTAATTATGATTAAATTAATTAAAAGCATCCACAATTGTCGTGTTTTGAACTGTGGTTCCTGATCTACTACAATCCTACACATTAATTATTGCACATACACATTGCAATATTGATGCTAGATCAAAATATGGTGAAGTCCTAGCATAGGGCAGGCCTGCAAAATATTGGGGAAAAAAAAAAATGGCTGTATTTTGTTATTCCGCAATATGAATACAATTTCACTACATGATTTAAACAGCTTTATTTGGAAAGACTTCATTCGTTTAGATTGACTGGGATAATCAAGTCTTTTTCCATGCAGTGCATTTGCATAACGTAATAAATTACAAACATACAGTAATACGGATTAAAAAAAAAAGGTAAATTTAGTCCTTTAGGGATAAAAAAAACGATTTAAAAAGTTGCAAAAATATAAATATTAATGAATTTTATGCAATCTGGACTCCAAAATAAAAGTACAAAGACTGCCACCTGGTGGTTTAAAGTGAAAATGTATTGATATGATTTTTTTTAGATGCAAACACCTAAATGCACAATATTCGACTTAAAAAAAAAAAAAAAAAAAAAAAAAAAAAAGAGGGTGGGGGGATTTTTGCAGTCATGCACGTGTTTGACTGCTAATATGCCGATGATTGAAACCTTTACCGATATCAAAATGCTTTTTTGACGCAAAATTAATTTATACAGTTATTCCTTACGCCGATTTAAAAAGCTTGAGTAGACCTAGGCTACTATAAAAGAAAACCTTCTCTAAATGTAGAACTAAATACATTGATATACATTGAAATACATGAGGAAAACTCTTGAAACATGAAAGCCTGTTGCTTACAACATGTGTAAAGTTATTGCATGTCATATTTAACAAACCGTCCACTGCTAATTTGTGTGATTTTGCTCACATGGATAATTGAATATTAATCAGATGATGTCATTACGCTGCTGTGCCGTCAGCCAATCGTTGCATTGCTGATCGTGATTTCGAGGATCGATGGATCTGTCCTTCACAACACACCCAGGGATTTTAGACAGTTCATCCAGACATTCTAATCTGATTCACAAACTTGTTTGAAGAACCAAATTTGCCAGAGATTAGCTATCAAGATAAACAGATCCAGGATCTGCCAAATCATCTTAGACCATTTAAGAGAGGTACAAAGAACGGACCCCAGGTCTGCAAAATATTGGAAAAAATCTGGCTGTATTTTGTTTTCCTGCAATAGATGTTGCAATATGAATATAATTTCACTGCACAATTTAAATAGCTCTATTTGGAAAGAATTCATTCGCTTAGATTGACTGGGATGATCAAGTCTTTCTCTATGCAGTGCATTTGCATATTGCAATAAATTACAAACATATATAAATACAGAGTAAAAATAAGTGAAAAACAGTGCCTTATGGTTTTCTAGAGAGTCTAACAGTAAATAAATACTAAAACTGAACAAATCAAACTTAATCATCATTTTATTAATAGTTTAAAACAAAAATATCTTTAGCCTTTAATCTTTAATAAATAGTCTAATCCTGTGATGTGACTATTGTGCATTCACACATTGCAATATCAATGCCAAAATCATATAAAAGAGCAGCATTAGCATAGAGTCTAAATGGACGTCTGGAATGAAGACAGTAAACAGACTCTCACGCACCTCCTCGGCAGCGGATGCATCACGGATGGCCTGCAGTAAAAATGTGATCTTGGTCTGACCGGGAATGGTGTCATACGCTTCCTACAAGAGCAAAAGCACAAGAGTTACTGGAGGGTTACATATATTGTAGACTTTATTTAAAACAGTCATGCTAGATTTCTCAGGGTATTTTCATGGCAAAACAACTAAAAAAATTAAATGCAACAATAAAAAATAAAAATAATAATAATAAAAACAGTAAATAAACAAGTAGGCAAGGGGGGATAACCAGGTTTAAGGTTTAACGCTGCATGGAAAAGCCAAGGTTTTAAAACCACTGAAATTTTCTATTGTACCGTTCCCACAGCACATGTAGTTTTTATTAATGTGTTTATATTATTATTTTATTACTATTATAATATTTTATTAAGTTTTTAAGGGCAACAAAAGCAAAGGATGACCCACATTAAACAAAAAAAAAAGCTTCTGTTCAGCTCACGATTCAGCAAACACTGTTCTACAATATTTGATGTTTCTGAAAATAAAATACATTGTGTGCGCGCGCCAATAACCTAGTAGTTAAGAGCATCAACACATAGGCCCAATCCTATCCCTTAAGCATCCTTACCACTGCACATGACAAACGACAGACCGGAAGCCATTCATTTGCAATGGAGAGTAGTCCGGGAGCTGCATGGAGTTCCGATCACCTCCATATGCGGAAAATACGGATTTGAATTGAGCTGCACTGAAATATTTTAACTCCTGCGATTAGACCGAATGCGACCGGCCGACCGGCTGTGATGTATTCCAGTGTTGTGCAAGCAGGTCCGTGTGCACGAGATGAGAAATGGGAGTTCATTAGGTTATTTTTTGAATTCAGAAGTCGTCTATTAAAAAATTTAAAAAAAAAAACATTTCTATTCATAAAAGTAATTAAGTAATAAAAATTGAATTTTTATGTTGTCTCCACATTCCCTCATTCATTCGTTTATTTATGCTGAACACACGGAGAATAAAGGCTCTTTTGCATTCTTTTATTTCGGACACAGCAAGAACAGCTTCTCTCCCATGGTGCACGTCAGAACTGAAAATACCAAGCAGGTATCGCTGCAGCCCGGAGACCTGCAAGTGGGAGGGATTATGCCGCAAGTAGGTTGGGTGACCTCCAAGTGGGAGGGGCTTAAACCACAAGTAGGTTGGGCTTATCAGGTTACTGTGAGGTTGGGTTTAGTGTTAGGTGTACACATTCAATATTGAACTCTAAATACGACTAAAGGTTTGCACAGCCCACTTGGAGCTCCAAGGCCCACCCACTTGGAGCTGGCTCCAACTTTTGTTAATACCCTTCTCGAAAATACTGTGCGACTGCCACAAGGGGGCGCAATCCGACAGTCGTGTACAAATGACTGTTTGCCTCCGTTTTCAGAAGTCTCCGTTTTCCCCCATCCACACTGAGATGGAGCAGCAGTATTTTAGGATAAAAACGGCCTCTCCGGCGTTTCCAAAACACTACAGTTTCACCTCTCGAAAACTCCGGGGTAGTATGGACGTATGGCGTAACCGTACTAAAACGTATGCGTTTTAGTTTGAAAACGCATATTAGTGTAACCGGTGCTTTAGATCATTTAAGCAAGGTACAAAGAACAGACCCCTAGTCTACAGTGACCGTTTCTCTCAAAACGCAAGACATTAGCCCCTTTCATACATGCAAACCTTTCCGGAAAATTACCAGCAATTTTCCGGAATGGTCTGTATGCGTGAACAGGCCCTTTTTAAAAATACCGGTAAATTCGTTCTGGCTATTTTGCGGAAAGAGAAGTTGTAACACTACTGGTAATTTGCCGAAATGCTGCGCTGTGTAAACAAACAAGGAAGATTGCCGGAAAGAGCGCGTGCACAGCTAGAACATGCTGACGCGAGACGTCTGCTTTAGCCAATCAGAACAGACGCATTCCCGTCCACGCGGTTTGAGAATAAAAGCCTTTGAATATTTTTCCAGACACATTTAGCTGCTAGAAATTAGTTAGATAAAGTTCATATGTTCATATTAATGCCAACCGTGTAAATAATCATCGATAAGATGCTTATGATAAGCCGTTGTTTGTTTACCTTCAAGCTTTGCGTGTGCCCGTGAAACAGCCCGTGAGTGCCAGCACACGCACATATCATGTACATCTCGACATGTGAAAGTGTTTCTCTATACGTTTTCATCGAAGTTGAAAGTTACTGATCATCCACAGAGTTTGTGATGTAGTTAAACGTTTACAAAGACAAGCGCAGCCGTTTAAAGCTCATTTCTGGTTAATGATGTCAGAATTTAACGGTATTTTGGAATGGATGTGTGAACGCTCGTTTCCGTAACGTCCTCGCCTGTGTGAACAGCTCTTTTTTTAAATATACGTAAAGTTGTTCCGGAAATTTTCCATACATTTACAGGTATCACTGTGTGAAAGGGGCTATTACTTGCTTCATATCTTGTATTTTGTTGTGACAAATCTTGTTTTTTGAACTCAAAAACAAAAAAAGGCTCACAGAATCCTGGTGGGACGGTATAAAGCTCACACACCGACACCCAAACTTTGCATTTCCAAGAAGGACAAAAAGCTATTGTCAAGTAAATTCAATTCAATTCATCCTTATTTCCGTAGCGCATTTACAATGTAGATTGCATCAAAGCAGCTCAATACAGAAGCTCTAGTAAACTGAAACCATGCAAGTCCAGTTTTCCGAGTTTTAACGAATTTACTGAAAAAATAGTTCAGCTTTTAGTTCAAGATTGTGTTGTTAAATCCTCAAACATTAGCTACAGCTTATGCAAATTGCAAACGGGGGGGATGCATCAACTTGGTGAGCCTTTTCAGATCTGACAAATATCTGTGATTTATACAAAGCATGTCTGGAATGAGCCTTTTGCGACTGGAATCTCCACATTATAATAAAACAAGAAACTGAGATGCACCTTGAAGATAACATCAAAGCTCAAGAACCTGATCTGCAACTGTAGGCACAATGATCTGATTTGTCAGCCTGTAAAGAGTGACATTACAGCTGATTTCTGTGTGCATGTTGGCCCTTGTCATGCTATGAGCGCCTGAGTCAGTTTCCGCTGAGCATTAGTGGCACACCGCTCATGTATTGTGCGGACTAAAGGAAAGTGCTGACCGGTGGCAGAGATGAGCGATAAGACCCAATGACCCGTCCTGATCCACATCAACTCCCCACGCAGCTTTAGCACAGATAAAGAAGCTCCTAACAAAAGCCCAGCTCCACACGTGCCAATGGGAGGCTGAACTTTTGGGGGGGAAAGTTTGAATTTGCCGCGAAAACAGGAACACTGATGACTTTCCATGCGTAAATGGGGTTATAATGAGTAGATAGCGGCTACTTGTAGTTCATTTAGTGAAGTTAGAAGCATATTCCTGACCTAAATGTGGAGTGTTTCCATGACATGACACTATGAAGGGTCATCTTTTGTGATAAGCTCAGCTCATCGCGTGAAGATGGGTGTACAGTTACTGTTTAATGAGTGAAACACAAGACTCGCCTCAATAGCGACGATGAAGAGTTTTTAAATATTCATTATTGTTCTGAGAAATGTAGTTGCATGTCGAATGAACAGAAGAAACTCATGTTTACAGCTCGACTGAGCAGATTGTGTGGTCAGTGTTCGTCACTATGACTGACAGCTTTTGAAATGTGAACGAACATGAATCGCTTTATGATTAAAAGCCTGACAGAATTAAAATCCCGATATAACTATAGGTTAAGACTAACATTAGCGTCACCTGCGCCGGGTTAACAGCGTCACAGCAACCGCGACTCAAATAACGAGGCAAAAACATTAAGACTAGCATTAAAACATCGGGATAGAACACAAATGAAGCAATAAGTGGATTTAAACCCCAAGGCTGTACACAAAACCGTATAAAACATCATGTTTGTAGCGTTTGTACGGTTAGTTAGGCCACGTTGATACGCAACACACGACTGAAACGTTCGACTCAGGAAGGAATCGTTCACTTGAACCAAATCTTTCAGAATGATTCAACCGAACTGAATTCGGAAGCCCATACTTGAGGAAATGTTTTAGAATTACTATTTAGGCAGTGAACAAATATAAACTAGTAAGTATATTGTTCCAATTCGAGTTAAAACCTCAAATTAGTCATACACAAATCATTTAAATTACTCTTGTCTTTATTGCAAATTAAACTAAAACACCACTAAATTTACACAGCTTTGAGATTGAAGTTGGTCATATTTGCACATTCAAACTTTCACAAAACATTCATTAATGCATTTTGTTTATTCTAAATGGTAAATACATACAGTAGCCAACGACTATAAAATTACAACATTGTTCAGTCAGTTAAATAGTGCTAATGTTGTTTTAAAGTCATACTTGCATGCGATTTCACACCGAATATTCAAAGCAGCGTGTCACAAAAATGTAACGGTGGAAAATAAATCAAAGAGCGAATATATTAACCCAATAACTTTGAGATACGGTGAATCAAACGAAAATGGGAACTTATTTCAGGAGTCGACTCGCTGAAAGGAATCGATTCTCTGAGAAGAATCGGAGCTGCATAGCAGCAGTGCGCGCGCTTCACACATGTGCTGGGCCAGAGCGAGGCTGAGCGGCCCGCGCTAAAACCGCGAATCGAGCCCGACACGAAAACGTTACATTTCCACACATTATCCGTTACGTTCATACCTCAGATTGCTTCCTGACGGTGTTGTCAGGGCTCATCAGGTTGCTCAGTAAGAGGTAGAACTGCTGCTGCTCCGCCATCGCTGCTGGATTCAGAAAGAGGGACGAGCGAATGAAAGCCGGCAGGGGAAGCGACCTCTGACACCGGACGGCATGAATGGAAGGACGTGATTGGCTAGTGACGCGCTGGCTTAGCCAGCCTGATTGGCTAGCGCTGGTGAATGAAATTAAATGATTGGCGTGTTTGGTGCGCTCGTGTGTCAGTCATCGTGACGCACAAATGATTCAGCAGCTGATCATCCTGTTGGCTGCGAAACGCGGGTAAAATAGAAGTAGGCGGGGTCTAGTTGAACGCGATGATGTCATTGCAAAATAACTCCCACCGCAAACGCGGGAATTTATCAGCCATTATTCAAATGTCTGGTAGCTGAAATAATATAGTGTTAAATAATGTTCAAATAGTCTACATGTATTACTTTGACTTTTTAATCTATTATCTGTTTACCTTTTTATTTTTTACAAATGATTTAAATCAATATCACTTACTATTGTATTTCTTTTTCATTAAAATCACTTTCTAAACATCATTACTTATTTTTATTACATTATCTATCTATCTATCTATCTATCTATCTATCTATCTATCTATCTATCTATCTATCTATCTATCTATCTATCTATCTATCTATCTATCTATCTATCTATCTATCTATCTATATTGTGTGTGAGTGTGTGTGTGTGTGTGTGTGTGTGTGTGTATATATATAAGCTTGAACCCTAAACATGATTCATTATGCTGTAATTTCTACATCTGCAGCAACAAAAACAGAACTGATTATTAATACATGTGTTACATGAAATAGTTTTTTCAAGACAGCAGTAACAAATATATATGTATATATTTAATTAAACAGAACAGGAAATAATTTTGCTGAACATAATTAATGTACAAACACTAAATAATATATGTCTGTCAAGAGTGATAGTATATGAAGATATAAATATAGATTAGACATGTTCAGATTTGGTCTCTATAGTTGTTATGTTTGAAATTTCATTCATTCATTCATTTTTGTTGGCTTAGTCCCTTATTTATCAGGGGTCACCACAGCAGAATGAACCACTAACTTATCTAGCAAGGTTTTACACAGCAGATGCCAGTACTGGGAAACACACACACTCAATCAAACATTCACACTCATACACTACGGCCAATTCAGTTCATCAGTTCCCCTATAGCGCATGTGTTTGGACTGGAGAAACCGGAGCACCCGGAGGAAACCCATGCCAACATTATTTACTGTCATCATGATAAAGATAAAATAAATCAGTTATTAGAGATGAGTTAATAAAACTATTATGATTGGAAATGTGTTGAACAAATCTCTCAGTTAAACAGAAATTGGGAAAAATACAAGGGGGTTAATAGTTTAGGGTGCTAATAATACTGACTTCAACTGTATATATATATATATATATATATATATATATATATATATATATATATATATATATATATATATATATATATATATGTTTATGTTTTCAAATATAACAGTAATAAGCCACAGTGACAGAGTGCATGGGCTTGGGTCTGTGACATTTGATCGTATGTTTTGAGAAAAATGCATTTCTGTGAAATACTAGTAAAGAAAATGTGCATTTTGAAGGTTTTTATGGTTTGTATTTTTTATATTTACAAAAAATTTATTCGTTTATACCGGAAAAATACAATCAACTTATCAAAGTGAGTGTAAATACATGCATAGTGTAGATAAATGCAGAAAATTGCAAATTGCAGAGAACAATCAACATTGCAAGGCACATTCACACATTTAAACGAATTCTAATTAATAAACACACAGTGCTGGGCAAAATTCATTCAGATTATTAATCAACAAAACTAAAAGTTTGTTTAGACATAATATATGTGTGTATATTATATATTTTTAGGCCTATTATGTTTATGTGTGGGCGAGGCAGTGGCGCAGTATAGTGCTGTCGCCTCACAGCAAGAAGGGCGCTGGTTCGAACCTCTGCTCAGTTGGCGTTTCTGTGTGGAGTTTGCATGTTCTCCCTGCCATCGTATGGGTTTCCTCCAGGTGCTCCGGTTTCCCCCACAGTCCAAACACATGCGGTACAGGTGAATTGGGTAGGCTAAATTGTCCGTAGTGAATGAGTGTGTGTGTGGATGTTTCCCAGAGATGGGTTGCAGCTGAAAGGGCATCCGCTGCGTAAAAACTTGCTGGATAAGTTGGCGGTTCATTCTGCTGTGGCGACCCCGGATTAATAAAGGGACTAAGCCGACAAGAAAATGAATGAATGTTTATGTGATACAAACACATACATAAAGACAAATCTATTCAATGTTTTTGTTATTTAAACTTTTATATATTTGTATCGTATCATATACACATATATGTGATCTAAATATAAAAATGTTATCAAATATACACATGCATGTGAGTATTTACCATTTATATATACACAAAATAAATATACACAGCGCACACACATAGTATGTCAAAGTAAAAACATTATTTTTGATGCAGTTAATAGCAAAAATAAACAAAAGTACGTCAAAACTGCATGCTGAAGTGTTAATGTGGGGACAAAAATAAAAGGACAATAGTTACCAGTAAAGGGTGATGCAGTGGTGCAGCAGGTAGTGCTGTCGCCTCACAGCAAGAAGGTCGCTGGTTCGAATCTCGGCTCAGTTGGCATTTCTGTGTGGAGTTTGCATGTTCTCCCTGCGTTCGCGTGGGTTTCCTCTAGGTGCTCCTGTTTCCCCCACAGTCCAAAGACATGCGGTTCAGGTGAATTGGGTAGACTAAATTGTCCACAGTGTATGAGCGTGTGTGTATATGTGTGTGTGGATATTTCCCAGTGATGGGTTGCGGCTGGGAGAGCATCCGCTGCGTAAAAACATGCTGGATAAGTTGGCGGTTCCTTCCGCTGTGGCGACCCCAGATTAATAAAGGGACTAAGCAGACAAGAAAATGAATGAATGAGTTACCAGTAATTGACCACAAGATGGCGCTAGAGAAACTCTGACGATGTCCAGACACACACAGCAGCTTCACAGATTCACTTTATCCTCAATTAAAACATCTTAGCTAGAAAGCAAAGCGTTAACGAAGCCTTAAAATCAGTCAAGACAAACACACGGTAGCTTCTGTTTTCATTTCAACACTGAATCTCTTGCAAAAGTATCTCAAACTTCACTTTTATACCTGAATATATCATAAATCAACACAAACTCACACAATCATCATCGCTTATTTCCATCTCATGTTTGTTTACCTTTAATTAAACCACACATGTTTGTGTTCTATTGATGTTTATTCTTATTTTTATGGCTTTGTTGTGTTGTGAACAACTTTTATTATTAAGCTCACGGCATTAGACTGACTTCTGAACATGTTCAGCATCTACATGCTTCAGTAGCGGTCACACTGGGCCATTACACACACACACACACACACACACACACACACACACTGCAAAAACAAACTACAACAAGATTTCAATTTCTGAAGAGAATATGAGAGATTCTTGCCAATTCACAACTCATGCTGCCATCTTTCTCAGTATTTACTAGGCAAGCAGCTGAGATGGTTGCTAACCAGTCACAAACATCCACTGTTTAACAGGGATAGAGTTGGGAAGATATGACAAAAATCTAAAAATACCACAATATTCAATTCAATTCAATTCAATTCAGCTTTATTTGTACAGCGCTTTTGCAATGTAGATTGTGTCAAAGCAGCTTCACATAAATGGTCATAGTAACTGGAACAGGGTAGTTCAGTTTTTAGTGTTTAAGTTCAGTTCAGTTAAGCTCAGTTCAGTGTGGTTTGAAGTCATTACTGAGAGTCCAAACAGGGAAAAAAAACTTCACCGATAGGAGAGTGAAGAAAAAAAACCTTGAGAGAACCAGACTCAGTTGGGCGCGACCATTTTAATTTCTCCTCTGGCCAAAAGTCTTGTGCAGAGCTGCAGTCTCAGCGGTGGAGGCTGGAAGCTGGCCTCAGAGAAGACTCGTCTGGAGCGTCGCTGGAATCAGTCTCATACTCTCCACTCCCCCATGAGCACAGCGCAGCAGCAGCTCAAGATACGGCCTGGTCCCGGATTATGAAAACCTTGGGATCATCTCGTCGCTGGTCTTGGATCCAATCAGTGACTCTGCATAATCTGAGGACGTGAGGATATGTGTCATCCCACATCCAGATAATGATATACACCACGATATATAAAAAGATTTCTGTAAATTCAATCAATTGGTTATTTATATATCGACCGCATGGAAACGACCATTTGCTTTTAACATTTTAAAGATATAGAAATATACTCATTTATATGTGATCATCAAATTGTATAGTATACACTCACCGGCCACTTTATTAGGTACACCTAACTAACACCGTGTTGGACCCCCTTTTGCATTCAGAACTGCGTTAATCCTTCATGGCAGAGATTAGACAAGATACTGGAAATATTCCTCAGAGATTTTGCTCCATATTGACATGATAGCGTCACAGTTGCTGCAGATTTGTCGGCTGCACATGCATAATGCCAATCTCTAAAGGCGCTCTATTGAATTGAGATCTGGTGACTGTGGAGGCCATTTGATGCTCGGTTGTCGGTTTGAACAGCAGCAGATGGTCTTGACCATGTCTACATGCCTAGATGCATTGAGTTGCTGCCATGTGATTGGCTGATTAGAAATTCGTGCTCACAAGCAGTTAAACAGGCGTACCTAATAAAGTGGCCGGTGAGTGTATATACAGGGAGTTTTTTTCCCTAACCTACATTCAGCTGCAGATTCACGATGGGGAGTTTTACAGAACGCATGTCTCTTTCTTTTCCAGCACTTCTATTTCCACTCCGCTTTGGTCCCTCTCCAAACTACCCCAGAGGGACTCGACTGCTGCCAAAACGCAGAGTGCTATTTCCACATCTACATCCCACACTGCACAGGGTCGTGGGAGACCCCGCTTTCCCCTGTCTGTCAGATGATGTGGCCCCCCTCACAAATATCCCACTCGCCATTACACATTTTGCTGCAACCTCCTGAGAGT